ACATTTCTATGCCGCCCCTTGCCGAAGCCTCGGGGCGGCTTACAACACAATAAAATACATTGAAATACAATAGAACATAATAAATTACCACTAAATACAAATATACAAAAAATACACTGAGATACACACATAATAATATAAAATTAAAATTAACAGTATAAAGTAAGTAAATAAAGAATATAGGAGGAGAAAAGAGAAGGAAGAAGAAGTTGCCCTGGCCAGATCATATATTTTAACAATTAAAATGATGTTTAAATAAAAAGGTCTTTACCTGGCGCTGAAAGACCAGTAACGACGGTGCCAGGCGGACCTCTTTGGGGAGTGAATTCCATAGGTTGGGTGCCACCGCAGAGAAAGCCCTCCTCCAAGTACTTACTCTCCTAATTTCTTTCATGGAGGGTTCCCGGAGAAGGGCCTCTCCCGCAGATCTCAAGGGGCGGTCGGGCATATACGGACGTAGGCGCTTGTTCAGGTAGCCAGGACCCAAGCCGTTTAGGGCTTTATAGGTCATAATCAACACCTTGAATTGGGCCCGGGCTTCAATGGGAAGCCAGTGAAGCTGACGGAGGACTGGAGTCATGTGAGCATAGCGCCCCGTCCCCGTCAGCAACCTGGCAGCTCTATTTTGCACCAACTGAAGTGTTCGGACCGTCTTCAGGGGCAGCCCCACATAAAGCGCATGACAGAAGTCTAGGTGGGAAGTCACCAGCGCGTGTGTCACCGTCGCAGCACTATATCAAATAAAAGGGAGGATTGGAGGCTCTCCATTTAGCAATACAGTTTAATAAACAGGAATTCAGTTGTTCTGAAGAATGGAAATAAGAAAAGGAAGAGATGTTTAAGGTTCCTAAGGCACAATTCCAAGTTTGCTGGGGCATGCTGGGAGTTGTAGGCCTCTTGTTCAGCGTGGCTGTCTGGGGCATGCTGGGAGTTGTAGGCCTCTTGTTCAGCGTGGCTGTCTGGGGCATGCTGGGAGTTGTAGGCCTCTTGTTCAGCGTGGCTGTCTGGGGCTTGCTGGGAGTTGTAGGCCTCTTGTTCAGCGTGGCTGTCTGGGGCATGCTGGGAGTTGTAGGCCTCTTGTTCAGCGTGGCTGTCTGGGGCATGCTGGGAGTTGTAGGCCTTTTGTGCTGCCTCGATATGCATAGGCTTACTCCCTTAGTTGGAAGAACAGAAGGTGGTTTAATATGGCATGTAAACTACTAGAAATAAGACTGCATGGTGGGGGATCTATGAGTCCCAGTGTCCCTGACCAACCTGGCTGGGACACATGGGACTTGGGATAGAGGGCCACACAGGCCCTCCAGTCCTCCTCAAGAGGTACAATGCCAAGTAAGTTTAGACTAAAGTGTCAGGGAGCGGCTTTCTGTAACGTCTCTTCCTCCAGGCTTAAAAGTCAGCTTGCAAGAAGTCTGGTGTGGAGCTAAAGGAAGAGAAAAAAGATATATGTTATATATTTTCATTTATATTTATATTTTTGGAGGCCTGCCATTCATAAAAGTTTCTATAACTTGGAGATGACTTGATGACACATAGCAACAACAAAGATAGATATACGAGGTACTGGGATAGACTGATAGTTACAAATCTACCCAGATGTGGTTGGCGTCTGTTCCCATCATCCTTGCCCATGCTGGCTGGGGTTGATGGGCACTGGAGTCCAGGCAGGTTTCCATCCCCTTCCCTCATAACAGGTACTTTTGGTGTATGTGGCCACACGGGGACGCCATTGTACCGCATCAGAAATCCGCCTCTGCCCTGGTACCTGCCCGGATCGTGGAAGGATGATCCGCACCCCGCGCCCTTCCCTGTGCCCTTGGCGATGTGCAGGGAAGCTGCAGCCTGGCCTGGTGGTGGCGACCTCTGATGCTTCTCTTTTCCCCATCGCTGGTCGGTCGGAGGTTGACGGCTGCTGGGAAGCCAGACTGCGTTGCACTCGAAGCACCTGCCCTAGTTTCTAGCGCATGGAACCTGGTTGGAAGCGGGCCACTGGAGTAGACAGGCGAGGTTCGGCGGGGCTCCTTCGAAGAACACAATTTCCCTTGGCTTTCCTCGTTAAGACGAGAAAATAGTTTACGAGGCGGGTTACATGGTGATGGTACAGTTATCGCTTTCGGCCTTTCAGTTTTAATATTTGGTTGGTTTCAGCTTTGATTTTATCATTAATAGTAGGATGCATTGCGTTTGTTGGTGTGTTTTCTGTTTTTTTTTTCTCTAAGTTGTCCAGAGACTGTGATATTGGACGGCATGTTTAAAAAAGAAGGCGCGCTCTTCCGCCCTTCTCTCTCGCTGGCGACGGAAGTGGGGCAGTGACGTCAAGCACGCCGCGCGCTCACTTCCGCCTGAGGCGGCGCGCAGGGAAGGAGCGGCTCCTCGCAAGATGGCGGCTTCTCTGCTGAGGTGACTGGAGGGGCGGCGGGGCGGCCGTTGGGGGTCCTGCGAGGAGGGGGGAGTGTGGGGGGGGGGCGTCGCTGGCCGTGCGGCCGGGGAGGCTGGCTGGGCCAGCGGGCGCCGGCCGTGCCCTTGGGCAGGGCGAGGTGACATTGGGTGCCCCGCCCTCTGCGAGTGGAAGCGGAGAGGCCCTGGCGCGTTTGTTGCACGTGTGCCTGCGCGGACACGTGTGCCTCAGGCCCGGGGTGGCTCACGTGCAGCACACGGGGAATCTGTCGGGCTTTTCCGCCTTGGTTCTTGCTTTTCTGTCCCACCTTTACTCTTTCTTGCAAGGAACCCCCCTGGTGGCCCTCCTCTTCTCCGTTGTTATCCTCACAACAACCCTGTGAGGTCGGTTCGCCCGAAGGTCTCCATGAGTCTTCGGGAGTTTCAGGGCTGAGTGGGCCCTTGAGCCTATTAGATCTCTCAAATCACTGTCCAGCACTCTAACCACTAGGCACACTGCGAAGCTGTGCATGCATTTAAGCATCTGTACTGGGCGATGTGTGTGGCATTGATACAGATGTGTGCAGGCCTAGTATCACCAGCTTCCCAGGTATACTAAATGTGCCTCTTGGTATTAATATGCAGGTCGGCAGTTCACTGTATCTATGCAAGCATAGCTTTGCAGCAGTTGCTCCTTCCTGGAGCCTCCTGCAGTGACTGTGTGGAGAAAGGGGGCAGCGGGGCTTGGCTTGACCCAGCCCCCATTTGCTACTGCCTCCCCCGGGGAGCACAAGCAGAGGAATGCTATGGTGCTCATGCCCTGCTGTGCCTGATGGGGACTCCTAGTTCATGATCCTAGGGGATCTGATTCTGGGAAAGCTTGAAGCCTGCTGTTAGCCTTTGGGCTTCTTTGGTGCAGCTGCATCGCTGCACGCGTGTCCGGAGGCCGGAGCCAGACTAGTGCCGACATCAGGGTGGGGCTGGAGGGGGGGGTGGCCCCCCATCTCCATGCACAGCCTCTGCAACCAGAGCATCTCCACGGCATTGCTGCAAACACTTTATCTTGTGGAAGTGAATTAATGCTGAAAAGCGCAAATAGCACATTTTATCTTTTATTTGGGGCTCGGTTGAGAACACCTGAGCTTTGGCAGTGCCTCTGCTTCTGCATTGCCACCTGCTGGTTCCTCTGCCTTTCGCTCTGTCCCAGAGATGATGGCGAGAAGCAGCAGCAGCGGGCACTGCCAACCTGCTCACCGATTCCCTGCCTGTCAAGTGGCAAGGGTGAGAAGCAAGTTGGGGAGACAGAATTCCTGGGGATGATGGGAGTGAGAATCACAGGGTGGGGGGGCAGTGGAGGGGGGCCTTGTCTGAAGGGCCTCAGAAGCCTGCAGCTGGTCATGATGTTTGTACATAGACTCCTAGGAGTGTACATGTGAGCGTGGGACTGGTAGTCCCCGGGTTATGGCTGAGTTCTGTTCCTGAGAATGTCTTTAGGGAAGTTGGGTCAGGCTCAGTTGGCCCTCCATGTTTGCGCGGGTTTGGGGTGCAGGAAGTGGGAAAAACGCGGATGTCTCGAGCCCTTCCACCGCGCAAGCGCACCAGTGCCTCCTCCGGGCACCAAGGAAAAGCTGGAGAGAGGTCCTTCTCTGGATGGTCAGGGCAAGAAGACATGCTTTGGAGGTCTTCCTTGCTCCCCTTTCACCTCCCCACTCTCTATGGTGAGGCTTTGGGGGCCCTCCTTCTTGCCCCTTTTCTTCCCCTCTCTCTATGGTGTTGATGGTTTTCTGCAGTAGGTCTTTAACTCAAGTTTTTTAAATTAATAGACTTTGATTAGTATGGGTTGTTCATAACTCGGATGTTCATAACCTGGGGGACTGCCTGTATTCGTATGGCTGTTGCAGATGTTCTTGTGTGTAGAAACATCTCTGTATGTGCATGGAAGCGGATATGTATGCGTGGGCACATGGAACGGATGTGTGTGTCTCCGTGGGTGTGACTTCAGTGATTTCAGCCTAAACACGTCCAGAGTTGGCTCAAATCCGGAATGTGAACTAGTTAAACTGTGGAACTTGCATCCAGGAGATGAAGTGGTGGCCACAAAGTTGCACTGCTTTAAAAGGGGATTGGATAACTTCCAGGAGGAGAAGCCTTTCCATGGCTCTAGTCCAGTTCGTGGTACGAGTTGATGGAGAGCATGGACTAGAAGATGCTGTCCCACTCGCATGCTTTTTGTGGGCTTCCCACAGGTAGCAAGTTGGCCATCATATGAAGCAGCCAGGCACAGGTGAGAAGGTGAGATGGCCCCCTTGGCTCTGATCTCACATGGCGCTGCTTATCTACCCATCAGATTACTGAAACTTTTGGCTATTTTTTTGCCTTTGGAAAGATACAGCCATGGGAAATTCTTCTGTGTACAGATTTCTGCGTGTGTCCCCAGACTTCGCTGCCTTCTTCCAACTAAGCACGCTTGGAACCAGGCCGTAAACCAGGCCCAATCCTGATTTGGGCCTTTGCCTCCCCATTCATTCTTCTCTCTTCCTCACCTCCGTTTGACTCTGCCTTGCCTCGTGGCAGCAGCGGGAAGTGTGCTGCCTTTGTTCCGAGTGCCGTATCACTCCAGTGTGTTCCTCAGGCAAAGATTCCAGCCCACAGGCCCAAACTCTTTGTGCTGCAAGAAGCCAGCTTGTGCATTTCTCTCCCTCCTCTTTTTTCCGCTGGTGTGTCACCTTTTGAATGTCAGCTTGACAATGTCGTCTTGACTGGATCTGTCCAGAATAGCTCTGCTAGCCTCCAGGTCCGTGTCCGTTTGTGCGTAATAAAAATAAATTTGAAACCCTTCTTTTATTCCTTGCCCACGGTGTTGGTTTGAACTGAAATTTGATGTGCACTGAGCCACGGCAGTGACCTGCCATTTTGCCGGCACTCTGGGCGTGAAAAAAAGATCATCGAAAGGGAATAATGAAACCAAGTTCCTTTTCAGAGTCTTTTTTCTCTTCGTTGACACTGAAACATACCGGCAAACTTTTGTTCTTCGGGGTTCAGACTCTAGGAATGTGAAGTAACAGCGTTTTGCTTAGTGGAGTCCCTGGCAAATTCTGTTTTATCGCTCACTCCCAGCGGTTCCTTGTTCAGTAAGCGTGGAAAAATAAATGGCATGGAAATGATGCTGTTAGATTGGACCAGGGGGAGAAGTGTTGGTATTTGGAGGGGATCACTCAGTTACAGCCGAAGGAGGATTTTGCAACTCGACTGGAATCAGAGATTCTTAATGGAGGGGAAATGACTTGGGGAATTTGAGCACGTGAATTTGGGAACACGCGGACAGCTCTCCGAAGCCCGGCGCCTTCCAGACTTGTTGGATCGTATCCCCCACAATCCCCGAGCCACTACAGCCATTGGCCATGCTAGCTTGGGAGCATGGGGGTAGTAGTCCAACACTTTTGGCTGGCCCCAAGATGGAGAATGTCGCTCCAGGACTCGTGTGGTCAGTTGTGGAAGTGTCCAACCAGGAAAGGAGGAGACCCAGCATTGAATCCCCACTTAGAAGGCACTAGAGACACTCTCCGAGCTGAGCCTCATAGGATATTCTGAAGATAAAATGGGAAGCAGAGCATATAAGCTGCCCTGAGCTTCTTGAAGCGAGGGCAGGAGGAAGAAAAGGCGATGAAGAGAAGAAACTGCATATTGCATTCTTAAAGGGCTTTTTGGCTGCGGTCTCCGTAATCCATGCAGCAACCCTGTAAGGTCAGCCAGTACAAGCCTAGGCGGAGGATCGCTAGTAAGGTCCACTGGTGCTACCCGTGCCACAGACAGGAGGGTGCGAAAGGGACTGGGGAGGACGTGGTGTTTCGCAAGCAGCAAAACCACTGGCCGTGGCAGGATTTGCCCCCATGTCTCCTGGGTCCAAAGACGGCACTCTCAGCCAGTCCTAACAGCTGGGCTGAGTTCTGAGGCCGCCTCTGTGCACACTGAAAAGCTAGCGCACTAATCCTTTGGGATTAATGCCGGAGTAATCTCTGAATCAGCTCGGAGCCACTGCGGGGAAGCAGCGTGTGTGCTGCTCCATCTCCCTTTTGCCGCTGATCTCTCCCTCCCTCCCTCCCTCCCTCCTCCTGAACGGGGAAGATCACCAGCAATTTGAGAAAGGTCAAGCTACCACCAGGGCTTCTTGCCTGCATGGCAGGTTAATGGCAGGAAGGGATGGCCATTAATGAGGGATGGTCACAGGGGATTAAATCGGGTGAGGCTGATCATGGCGCAGTCCTGTGCACGGCCCCCTCCGGGCTTGGAGGCTGCCGGGATTCCTGTGCCCCTGCTGAAGCCAGCAAAGTGGAAAGAGCGTAGAGGCAAGTGGTCCGTCCTCTTCTGCTCGGCGGGCTTTGAGGAGGAACTTTAATTTGGCTCAGGTCACATTTCATCTTACGCCTGTCCCTGTTTATGTTTGGATGTCCATTAATGATTAGAAAGCATGTTTTAGCTCGGGCTTCGCCAACCTGGTGCCTTCCAGAGGCTTTGCACTACAGTTCCCATCAGCTGCAGCCTGCGTAGGGGCTATGGGAGCAGGAGGAAGCCCAGCCTGTGGGAAGTTGGCCTCTGCATCCGTTGGGTTCAGATTTACCATTTTTTTGCATTTGAATAATTATAATAAGCAGAAGGGGAAGAAATCCAAAGACACAGTATTACCCTGACGTGCTGTTTTTTTTTTTTTTGCCCAGTAGCCAAAAAAGCATCAGGATGGAAATATTTTGTTAGGATTGTGCTGTATTTTATTTTTTATTTTTCCTATCTGTGCCTACCTAGTGATAAGTTTCATGGAGTTCATTTGGTCCCACTCCTGGGAAAGTTGCTATAGGGCCGAAGCCGTAGGGCATGCTCCTAGATCGAAAAGGCCGAAAACTCACAGCAGGGCTGGTTGGGAATGCTGGGCGTCATAAGCCTTTCCCCCTGAGCTTTCATAGGATGGCCCCCTTTGTGTGGCTTGAGTGCAACAGGACCGAGTTGCCTCCGTGTGTGAATTCCATGCCTGTTCTTCTCTTTCAGATTAACCAGCCGGCGTGGCCTCTGCTTTCGTCTTGGACCAGGGCTTTCCGTGCAGCAGTAAGTTTCATGCAGCACAACAGCTTTGTTCTCCTCCTCCTCCTCTCCCTGCCGCTTGACTCTTCACAGCAGCCCCCCCCCCCCGTTCCTTTTCCCTTCGGTTCTTCCATAATTCACAGGCCATTAAAAGCAGCAGCCAGCTAGCAGGGTGTTGATGTGACAGTGGGACTTGGAAGGAGCCCCATGTGCTTCTGGTTGAAAGCGCACAGACCTGTAAATGAAACGGCCTCTCAGCTCCTTTTGGCTCAGACGCTTCTGTGTCGCTTCCATTTCACCCCGAATCTCTGCCTGGCCTCAAAGCCCTTCTCCACTGAGCCAGCCAGATAGAATACATTACAGTCAGATACATTACAGTCATTACAATCAGGAGCAGCATTAATCACTAGTTTTAGGTCTTGCTGTCCAATAATATGGTAGCTAACTTCACCTCCTTTGGGAGGGAGTCTTGTAACTGGAATACTGCAAAATATTAATAACTAATTCTTACTCCAGGGGCTTGATCCAGTGAAGTCTTTAGATTCAAGGATATTCAGGAAAAAGCGCATCTTGCAGTGACTTGGGGCATACTAGCTGTTTTTGGTAGAATTGATTTGTTTTCATTGATTCTAAGGGGTAGAATCAATTGTTTTCATTGATTCTAAAGAGTAACGGTTTTTATGGATTTTTAATTGAATCCAAACAAAGAAGTTTTCTGTGACCATTCAGACGCAGGGTAGAGAGGCTGATTCCAACAGTTCCGTAATGTGCATATTGATAACAGGTTAAAAGCAGGGTTTTTTTCCTCTTGCCAAAAGTAAACACTGTGTTGCGAACATTGGAACTCCAGGGCTGTGTGTTACATCATTTCCTTCATGTGTGGGTGTCTTGAATCCTGAGGGTCCCCATGCTTAAAGGCAGCCTAGGAATTGTTTATGGTAAATTAAGCAAAGAGCAGATGAATTCCTGGTGCAGGCCAGTCACTTACTGAGTATCAATGGAGCCTCCACCATTAAGGGCAGTCTACCTCTGAGTAACTCAGTGCTGGGGATTGAAAAGGCCTTTGCTCTTATACCCTGCTTGGGAACTTTCTAAAGGAACTTGGAAACAGGCGACTGAACTATCTGGATCTATGAGGGCTTTCTTGATATGCTCAATGGATACCTGAAGAAGGGGTCATACTTACTCTGACTTGCCTGTACATTTTGCTTGACCATTCCTTTTGGCCTCTGGTTAAATTTTTGTTGTTTGGCCTGACATTTTAAACAGTTGTGCGTTTCATCTGGTTGACTAGATAATCTATTTTATTGCATTGCATTCAACTTTTTACTGCAATCAGCTGCATCATGGATGCTGATTTTAACATGTTTGGAGGCTTCTGTAGTCCATGAAGAGACAGCTGATCAATCCTTAAAAAGAAAGAGAATTCTCTGTTTGTGGCTACTCACTCCCTACTTACCTGTCGGACTTCTCAACTACTTCTTTTCTTCTAGTGTGGTTCCCATGGCAACAACAGCAAAGGAAGAAATGGCCCGGTTTTGGGAGAAGAACACCCGATCAAACCGTCCGCTCTCCCCTCATGTCACCATCTACAAGTAAGAGCAGCCAGGGGAATGCCTGGCCCGTATCCAGGCATAACGTTCCTTATGCCTGTTGTCGAAGGCAGCTGAAAAAAAGGAGGCAGGAGGGAAAAGATTCTGCCCTCCGTTTGGTTACCTATACTGAGGATTAGTTGCAGTGGGTGGGTGGGATGAGGTGAAAATGATCGTTCAGTAAGAATTAAACCACCGTTACAGAAAAATAAAGGATTTCTGGGTCTTTATTTAAAGGGCAGCACCATGGTGCGCTCACTCCTCCCGTTGCCCTGAACTAGACTTTTGAGGCAGCCAGGAGTAGAGTTTTGGGCTGACCGATCGTGATTCCTGGGCACAGCATTCTTTAATTCCAGTCACAGGATTTTTTTGGCCCAGGACTTCTTTTGAGGGACCTTGGGGTTCCCATTCTCCAGGCCGCCGAACTGTCCATCCCCAGCTGCCAGGTTTTATCCATTCTGTTATCAAGATTTCTAAACTGTGCGCAGAGGGATCATTGCAAAGACAGTTAAAATGGCAATGAATGGCGATGAGAACCTTTCTGTACTTGGCATTCTGGTGAGAGCCACTGCCAGATGGAGTGGGGCGGGGGGGTGATCCCCTGGCAGCCCCCCTTTTGTGGAAAATTTGGGACACATTCCACAGGGAAAGACCCTTGGTGTTGCCTCTGGCGCCCGCAGGACAAACATATCTGGGGAAGAAAGCCCCTCTGCTTTCTGGGGATGGCAGCGAATTTGACAGCACTGGTACCGCGGCAGCATTCCAGAACCCAGGCCATGATTTCTAGGTTTTAAGATGCGTATCTCCATGTGGGGTGTTGGGAAGCAGAGAAATCGGGGTGGGGAGTGTATCCCAGCTGAGGGGTGGCAGCAGACGCCGGCAGAGATCTAGTGTGGCTGCTCCTACATCCGTGGCCTCTTTCCTTCTCTTTCAGGTGGTCTCTGCCGATGATTATGTCCATTACCCACCGTGGAACAGGGATTGCAATGAGTTTAGGTGAGCAGTGTTTCTCTTGGCAAATGCAGCCACCCTGACCCAGGGTGGGGTTCATGAGAATGGAAGACGAGCGGGCCAGCTAGTCCAGTGTCTGGTGGCCCACAGAGTTCGCCCGGAGTGCGATCGGGAATCATATTCCGAGTGTTCAGCCCCCTCGATGCCCATGTAGTTCTTTGGATTAATTGGGGACAAAGAGAGAGGTTTGGCCTTACTTTTAGGGGGTTGAGCACTCCCTCCTGAGCCGAGCACCCCGAGCTGGAATGGATGTGACAGTGATCATGCTCGGAGAGCAGAGCAGTGCGAAAACTAAGCCTTAGAGCTTGTAATCAAAAAACTGCACGCAAAACAAGACGGGGAAGGCAAAAGCCTGGAAAGTGCAGGTCAAGTGACTCTTTGAGTTCCCACAACCCGGCCTGCATGCCCTGGGAAGCCAAGCTCTTTAACCCGTGAGTGACCACAAACATCTGGCAGCTCATTAGCGCAGCTGGATCAAGCTCACCAGGCACTGGCACACTCTGCTTCTGAATTGGATTGGTAGAATTCCCAATCTTGAGCAACTCAGCTGTAGATTTATAGTTGGATGCTGGTCACCCCTGTGTACGGCTCTTGGGGTTTAGTAGGTCTTCGGATCCACACCTCTGGGCCAAAATACCGCTGCTGGTTTCACCCCTGCAATGGACCGTGGGTGTCGAACAAATGTTTCCCATGCCAGGGATCTCAGGGTCTATCCTGGACATCCCCAGGGAGAGCTGGGAAAGAGCAGCTGCTTGGGACGGCCGCCTGTCTCGGCAGCCCAGCCTTCTCCTCCATTCCAGCCTCCGGGGGTGTTGAGCCGCAGCACCCCTCCTCTCCCACGTGGACTGGTCCAGTGCTGGCACGTCCGGAAGGCACCAATCAGACGCTGCTTCCTGGTATTGGGGCGGCCATGGGGGTGGGCCTTGATGCCCCAAGGAAGCTCCAGTGTGGATGCCACTCTGGGCCGTGTTCGAGGTGCGTGCTGGGTCAGGGCCATTCCCTTCCCGTGGTCCCAGATGCTGGCAGTGTGTAACTTTTCTCGAAGCGGGGAGTCTCAGTTGGAAAGGGGGCCCGCCCACCAGCTTCCCCTTTTGGCCTGACTGTCTGTCTCCCTCTCTCCTTAGGGGTGTCTCTCTTTGGCTTAAGCGCTCTGGTCCTTCCGGGCCATTTCGCCGACCATGTGGAGCTGGTCAGGTCCCTCAGCCTGGGGCCAGCTCTCATCTACTCGGCCAAGTTTGCCCTGGCGTTCCCTTTGACCTACCACACCTGGAATGGGATCCGGCACCTGGTGAGTGGCCTTTGGAAAGGGCCTTGCGGGGTGCGGGTGTTTTCTGAGAATGGAAAGAGCCTGGCCGGATCAGGCCCGACAACCCTTCCGCTCCAGCATCCTGGTTTCCCCCAGGGATCAGCCGGAACAACCGGGGTGGCCTCGTGGGTTACAGCATCGGACAAGGACTGGGAGTCCTGGGTTCAAATCCCCCGCATGTTCACAAAGCTCACAGTCTGTCTCTGGACCTGGCTGCCATCTCTCCGCCTGGCCTCATCAGGCTGTAGGGATAAAATAGAGGAGGAGGTAGAACCCCAGAAACAGCCTTTCCCCAACGAGGGACCCTTCAGGCATTCTGGACTATCCACGGGGTTCCCATGACAGCACAGCCTCTAGGTGCTCACCAGCTTCATTTCTCCTCCCAATTTTTATTTTATCCCGTAATTTTTAAAAATGTATGCTTCACTTTGAGCAGTGAGGCTGGCTTTTCACAAGCAGGCTGGTCCGCCCAGCCCAGCCATTTGGTGAAAGCGCCCACCACGCTGAAAGTTCCAGTGTTCCAACCAAGGTTGGGAGCCTTTCCCTTCTCTCCAGCCGGCATGGACACATGGGCTGACCATGATGGAAACTGTAGTCTGCCTGATCTGGAGGATGGGAACTGTAGTCTGCCTGAGCTGGAGGGTGCTAGTTTGGAAAAAGGCTGGAAGCCAGTCAGTCCAAGCCAGAGCTGCCTCAAAAGCAGCAATTTCTTTCTGCACAGGCCAAACACACATCCAGGCAATATCGTTTTAGCCTCTTTCCCAAAATCAAAACCAGAAGGGGAAGGGCTAACCCTGCCCAGAGCAAGGAGCATTCAGTAACCTTCCCTCTCTCCATCCCCTGTACTGTAAACCGGCACTTTCCAAAGTGATTAAGTCCGCCTGCCTTTTAAGATCCCTGTTAAAAAGCCAACCCCCCCCCCCCCAAAAACCCAGCCGTTCTGAATGCTCTTTTCTTGAACCCGGCCACATTCCTTTGAAAGCAGCTAACTCTTTAATGCTCACTGGGGTTGCGGAGAGCTGAGAGTTTGGACCAGCGGTGTGCCCCAGAGAAGTGTGAGTGCTCCATATGGAGTGTTTTCTGTCAAGAAGAAAACCGTACAGCCATGAGTGCCGAGCCCACTTCTCGCCTCGGAGGCATTTTATGCCTCTCCGAATGAGCGTCTCTCGTCCCTTTTCACTCCAGATCATCTGTGTGGATCTGTCTTCCCCATTCCCTTATTTTTAATTATTTTTCTTTTTGGTTAAAAACAACAACAACAAATCTGGAGGGCATTCTGGTGAACGGGGAAGGAAGATCAAGGGCTGCTTCTTCGGGAGCCAATTGGCAGGCGTCGGATTTGAATAGCAGAATCGCTCTGTGCCTCCGGTGTGCATGATTAGGCAGTCACGGAAGCGGCCAAACGGCAGGGGAAAAGACAGCATGGAGAGATGGGGGCAGAAGTGGGCACTGCAGACTGCAAAAGCCTTCTGGAAGGAGCCAGTCTTAATCCTGGCATGCTGTTCTTGCATCCAAAGGAGCAAATCCTGCTTTATGAATGCCCTGCGGTGTTCAAAGCGTAATGCAGATAGACATTTCCCTGGTCACCTTGGGCGAATAGAAATTTCCTGCAGGTGACTAGGCTAGGCAGTGGGCGAAGAGAAGTAAAAGCTCTGGGTTTCACAGCAACTGGCCCTCAAAAGCCTCCAGGGCCTACAGCCGTACTGAGTGGCTTTCAGAGGGAGCTAGACAAATTCACAAAGGAGAAGGCTATTTTCTGTCCTTCATGTTTGCCTCGGTTGAAGAATTGGGGCACCATTCCAGTTCTCAGAGAGAACGTATGCGGAGGTTCACATGAACATGCACCCTGGTGAGATTTCCCCCAGGGATGCTTAGCATGCTAATCCAACATGGCTCATTGCTGCATTCGGAGTTCAGAAGGAAGCATTCTTCCCCGATTAGACTTCAGATGTAGGCGAGCGCGTGTGTATTTCATGGCGAGCTTTTCCGGTGGCACATGCAGCTTGGCTCACTTGCTTGAGTGCATGCTCCTCTTGGTAGCATTCCATACTTGGTTGCGGCACACTTGTTTTCTCAGAAATAAAGCTGCATCAAGGGGGTCCCTCTAGCCCAGGGGCCTGTCTTTTTATAGGAAGCCAACACAAAGTCTCCGAGGCACCCAGAAATGGCAGGATGTAGCGGCATTGTTTCCTTCCTGAACCCAGTGTTTAGAGGAATACGACGTCCGAACATGGATGTTTAACAGCTTCCTATATCCCCCACGTATTCTTTCTAATCCTTTTTGATTTAAGAGCCAAATCCTATACCGGAGAAGTTTCCAGGGTTGCATTCTGGGTGGGACCTAAGACACAGGACCAGAAGTACCAACCTATTTAAGCTTAAAGCTCTTGCTCCCGATAACGAAGCCCTGTGAGCGGCATTTCCCCTCTCCCCCCATGCTGCCTAAAAGCCAGGTGGCCACCAAAATGGTTGGCAGGCCCACAAACGGGGGGCAGGGCCTGGGGAAGAGGGCAGGGCCACCTGCGGGCAGGCAGTGGCTGGATTGGCTTCCAGTGCCTGAAATCCCGTTTCCCTGTTCAAAAGCCGCACACAGCTCATCTCGGCCATTCTTCTGGTGTCGGAGAGCACGTGGCGACTGGGATTCAGTCTGTGGGGCCGGCTCTTCCTCCGATCCCACAACTCCCGGGGCATGGGCTGCTTTCCTGCTGCTCGTTCGCCTGCCTTCTTGCCCGGACAACTCACAAAGGGCCAAGGAGTGGGTGCCGTCCAGGCGGGATTTCTTTTTGCCGAAACGTCCCTTGTGCTTTCCTAGTTCCTTCTGCTGAAATGCCCTCTCTTTCTCTCTCTCTCTCTCTCTCTCTCTCTCTCTCTCTCTCTCTCTCTGTAGGCGTGGGACTTGGGCAAAGGGTTCAAGATACCTCAGGTCTACCAGTCCGGAGTCCTGGTGTTGGTCCTAACGGTTTTGTCCTCCATTGGGATCGCGGCCCTGTGAACCTGGGCAGGACTGCCACCTCCTCCTGCTGCCCCCCGAAGTCCTGACCTTGTTCACGTCCTGAGCACTTTGCTTAATCAGACCCTTGGGAGAGTTGGCGCCAGTGCCATGGCTTGAAGAAACTGTGGGGCAGGAGCACTCCCAAATCACCACATAGTTCACTGCAAATTGAAGCACGGGGGCTCCCCCCCCCCCCCCCGATCTGCCTGGATTATTGTAGAATTGTCTCTTTTCCGTCATGTCCCATAATATTGTCGGGTGACTTTCAGGGGATCTTCCCCAGCTGAGGCGAGAGCCTGGAAGTGCAAGATTGCAGAGGGCCAAGAAATCAGCATACTGATTGGCCGAGACTCTGGCATACCCATGATGCACCGAGAGCCATTGCTTTTCTCAGCTTTTTCTCCCTTTCTCCCCTCCCCGCAAGACTCCAGACAATGCCCATCTGTGTGGCCAATAGAGCAGTGTGTGAGCGAGCGTGTGGGTATATTTCTAAGCAGGACAACGGTCCCCATTGATGGCCAGACTGTGGCAAGAGCGGTGCATTCAGCCCGGGCCACCTCCAGCCACCGTCTTGTGCCCCACCTTTATCCCCAGAATGCTCACGGCGAGGCTTTTGGGCCTGTGGCCTACGAGCCGTCCGCCGAGGTTGCTGTCACAGCATGCTGAGACGTTGCATTGTTTTCTTCGTAGGCGCGGGCCATTCAGCCTCAGAACAGTTCCTGCCCAGGGAGGGGGGAGGAAGTGATGTCATGCTAGCTTAGGGTGGCGGGTCCCCGGTGTGGAAGAACTGGGCCGATTTACTGCGATGCTCTTCCATCGTCTCCTTGCCTGCCTTCCAGTGGAACAAATAACCTCCACACCTGTGTATATAGGAGCCCAAACTTTGCTATCCTGTCTGTGAGACCTTGAAGCCAGGCAGCCTTCACCCTACAAAGACAGTGCCTTTTGGGCAGTTGTACAACCATTGATCACATTTTATAAAGTTCATGCCCTTTCTATGCAGAAATAAAATGACCTCGGCCTTTTGGTAGGACAGGTAAAGGTGCCGGTTGAGTTTTTCTTGCGAGCGCGTCCCTCGAGAATCGGTAGCCTCTTAGAAACCTTAAAAGCATCTTGGTTTTTTGATGCTAAAAACAGAGAGGGCTGCTAGGTGGGGAGAAGACGGAGCTGGTTTTTTTCCACAGCCCATCAAACAGGAGACAAGTCCCAGATCTCCCCCATGGCTTCTGAAGCACACGTCCAATGCTTGTCATTTTGATGGTGACGCTTAAGGCTGTCCTTGGCACACAGATCCGATGCCTTCATTTCTCTTAAACCAATTACGTGGGCCCATTACCAAGATGGGTTTTTACACTCTGCTTCCCCCGCCCCCTCCTCCGTGATTGATTTTACTGTGTGCCTGCGTGTGTGTTTTGTAATTATCTGTTCTCCGGTGTGTGGTGAGCGATAATGAGACTGAAAGCTTGCGAGTCCCAAAACTGGCATGCAGCAAGCTAATTAACTGGATTTCTTCACGCACATGTACACATTTTGTGGATGTGTTTGGTAAAAACAAGAGAGAAATAATGTGATTCATCCAAAGCCTTCAGAGCAAATTTTTTCCCATGCAGACTTTTTTTTTGCTGCAAAGGGTGTTTCCCAGAAGCTTTTCCTGGAAGCTTTTGCCTTAATGCAAAAGATAAAAAACAGACATGCCTTAAATACCGGCTTGCCTGTTAGCAATCTTGAAAACTTCTTCTGCCCATCCTGGGCTGTGCTTCTCTTTTAGGGGTGCCATCAGGTAGGATGTTGGGGCAGAAGTCCAGGGCCCCTGCAGCCAGATGGCTTCCAAACATAGTGAGGCAAATGGATCCCATTTTAAAGTATCTGCATGGCCATCTAAGAGGTGGGCATCTAAGGTCATTAAGCACAGAGCAGGAGGTCCCCACTCTTTCCAATGATGCACATTTGGAATTTTGTATCGTGTTGAGTTAATCTTTGCTTAAAGCCTTTGGTTCCCCTTATCTAAATGTGTATGATGAGCCAACTTGACATTTCTCAAACCGGAGAACTGGTGCTTAACTTTTCTGAAGAAAAAACACTTGGCGGTGGAGGAAATGTTTTTCGGGTTAGTTTTATTTAGTGTCAATTGCCATCAAAACACCCGTCAGGTATGACACCTCCGTTCCATCCTCGGCGGTCTGTGGGATTTTCATTTCTGTTCTGCAGTTGCGAAGTTCAGGCTGCATTGCTGCCTCTTGCCCGTTGGGCCTGTCTTCTCTTGGGCAGCAAAGATCTAACCCTCACTTTCCTTTCTGGGGCAAGTTGAAAAAGGCACGGCTGCCGTTGAGACCTCAGTTCACCCTTGCCTGGACTTGATGCATGGTGCTTCCTACCGAGATGCTAGTTGTAAGGGCTGGAGAGTCATGAAATCAGAAGAGATCATGGAGAGAAAAGGAAACCAGACGCTCCGAGGAGAAGCAGGGAAAGGAAAGGGAAAGGAAAGGGAAAGGACACACCAGAATGACTGGAAAGATGGAGCAGAATGTTTTAACTTTCAGTCATTGGTAATAGAATTTTTTGCTCTGGCCTTTGGATGGAGGCTTAACTCAGTTGCTCTTCTGGGCAAGAGAGAGGCCTGGCCAAGCCTCCCCTTTCCCTCCGATCCATTTCTGGTTCCACCAGGCCTTTCTGTGTCTCCAGAGCTTGGCTTGCCTTCGTGGCCGGCCGGCTGGATGGCGGGGCCTCGGGCGAACGGGCCCGCCTGGGATTGGCCTCCATGGACCCGGTGCGGTATGAAGCCAGGAGCTCCGGCGTGCTGACGCCTTTGGACTTCCCTTCCAGCGACTTGGGCCAGCCTGCCGGCGAGGCTTCCGCGGATGCAGCTCTCCTGAGAGCGGACTCTCGCGAGCTGGGGCGGCTTTGGACTGGGATTTTGGGGGCCACGGTGTCTTTCAGGCGAACATCCATGGAGCCCGGCTGGCGGGAGATGGGGATCTCGCTGCCGCTCCTCTCCCGCTGCTCCTTGGGCTCGAGCTGCTGGGAGGCCTGGGTGTCCGGGGGAGCCTCCTCTTTCAGCCGGATGTCCATGCAGCCAGGCTGGCGGGAGAGGGGTCCCTTCGGTGTGGCGGCTCCCCGGGATTCCGCTTCTTTTTGCGCAGGCATTTTCCCAGCTGAGCTGGGGGGCTCTAAGCCCCTGCGGGAGGCTTGGCTGCACTTGGCAGAAGTCTCCTCCTTGATACGTGCTGGGGGGTCGTTCGGCTGTAGGGCAAAAGAAGGGTTATCACAGTGGGGGCAACCCATTTGTATCTTCAAAGACCGACAATCACGCTTCCTGAGCTATTTACAAGAATAGAAGGCATTAAAAAAACCCGGGGAGTCCTAGCGCTGTCGTTGAAGCTGTTTTCTATCACTGGGTCTAATACCTTACGCCCCTCTGGGTGCCTGGAACGACAAGATGGTTCTAAAGTATGTTTTGCAGTTCACCCTCTCAAGCCCGTGATTACTCCGGGATATTTTTCTGGTTGGGATGGGAGTTCGGCAAAGGGCTTGTGGCCCTTTGGATCCGTTTTACCTTGCCGATGACTTGTGGGCGAAAGCCGTTGCAAGCAGTGTCCAGGGCAGTGGACTTGCCGATCCACTCGATAAGATGGGCAGCCGCATCAACGGAGCGGGAGGTCAGGTTGACTTTGGCGGGCGGGATCTTCAGGGGCATATCCCAGGTGCCGAGGTAGGTGCCCCAGGGGGAAGCCTGCGGAATGGCAAGAAAGTTTGCTCGCTGTAGGCAGGAAGGATTTTGCATGTGTCCGTGGCGTTCGGCGCTTCAACAAGGCCCTGCTTCAGAAGGCCACCTAGAAGGCTTAGAAGCTGGGGGGCTGCATGCCATTTCTCCCCCTACTACACACCCAGAACTAGTGAGGTTTCTATGCCACCCCAGAAAATTTGCAGTTTGCACACCATTTGTCAGGACAATTTCCAGCTATTCTCTGGATTAAAACTTAAGTTTCCAGTCCTTATGGTGCCTGGGAAAAGCTTGGGCCTGAATTGTCAGAAAGTTGAGGGGGGAAGGTGCAGTAGGGGAGCTGCAGCTGTGACAGGGAGAAAGCGTTGAGCAAAAAGCAGAATTCTGTGCCTGGCAAAGCTGTTTTCTGCAGTCCGGTGTGCAGCCGAGGTTGCTTTATCCAAGTGGGCATCATTTAAAATTTTACACTGCTGCTTCTGGCCATGAAGATGAGCAGGGCAGTGAAGCTTCTCTCTACCCCCACCATACTTTCCTAAAAGGCAGGGGATGTGGCTGCTTTCTCCAACAATTGCTGCCAGGCTGGTCCTTTCAGCCATAAGGACTAGAAACTTAAGGGGCAGCTAATTTCTCCAGGGGCTGAACTTACTGCCTTTCCCATGCGGTTGTGGAGTCTTGACATGCACGTGGCTTTGGGAATGGAGCCACGCTGCCGTGTGCAGCTCGTTGCCGGGGCTATCCGACAGGATCATGTGCTTTTTGTTTTAGCAAAACTCTCAGAGCGTGGTGTCTCGTCCACCTACTGTGGGCTGAAGAATAAGAGCCTCACCTTGGACCGGGGCACTGAAGGGAGCAGGTGTCCTCGGTCATTGGCTATGAATTGGGTGTAACCCTCGTGAGCAGATGGGTGCTGTGAGGAAAAGACAAGGTAAGTCGGGGAGAGAAGATGGAGCGGGAGGTTAACGAGGGTGGCCATGGTCTCGTACCGCAGGGAGCAGAATTCCAGGCATGGCGGCCAACCTGGCTTACCTGCAGCTGGAGACTCAGGAGCACTGAGCCCTCTGGGCTTCCCCAGACCACCAGGGCCCGCTCCCAACTTTAAGCTTGGCTTGGCTTTGGGGAAACGTGAAATGCATCTCCTAGGAGTTAGACACAGACGGTAAATGTATCTGCTGGCACTGAGAGTCCCACCCCTTTGGGCTTGTCCACCCGCGGAATGCAGCTCCCGAGAGCTTCCCGCCGTGAAATTTGGCCGCCTCGTTGAAAGAAGTTGGCCCCAGCAGCCCATCTCACCCAGTTTTCTGTTCCCAACAACCATCAGGGATGGGATGTGAAGATAGACTGCATCTGCACATAGAGGTTCCATTCTGAGCGATCAGGGACACCACCTTCTGACAGGCATTTTGGGTGGAAGTTTCCCTGGCTCTTTATTTCACCTGCCCCAGCTGAACATGACCCCAAAGCCCTAACTTGCCCAACTTCCAGATTCCAGTGGCCACAGAGGCTGCTGGGAAGCTCAGAAGTGGGGTACGGAAGGGGCAATACCCCTCCCTATTATCGCTCGAGATGAAGCACTCCAGGATGGAGAGCCCTGGCTGACAGATGCAAGGAAGGAACTGGGGTACACACAGAAAGCCTCGGGATACGCAAAATCGTACACCCACCCCTTCAAGAACGTATCTTGTACTGAACAAGGCGTTGCTTTGTTGATGTGCAAGAGTGTGGCAAGAGAGAGAAAAATCGGGGCTCTGGGGTACATACCCCATAATAAAAGTTCGAGCAATCCCAAATCCTATACCCACGGCCTCCATGGGTACCCTTGGGCCCGAAGGAGATCTCGCAGTGCTTTGGACTTCAATCTGCAGCGCTCTTGGCCCTTTGCCTGTGGTTGAAGTCCACCAAGTCTGGTTTTAAGCCCATTCTTGCTCTGAGAGAGGGCTTTGAATCCCAACTTGGTAGATTTCACCTCAGCACCAAAAGGACCCATTTCTCATCCATCCACAAGGCTCTGCCAAGCATACCTCCTTGAAAACCCTGGGAAGGTTCCAATTCTGCAATTTCCGGGCAACGTAGGCATCTTCGTACTGCAAAACCAAAAGGGGAGGCACACTGTGTCAACGGGCAGCGAAATTTCAGCGGAAGCAGCGGTGCTGTGGACAGGCGTCCCTGGCTTTTAACATGGTTTCACTCCTTTGTTTGTTTGCCCTGTTTGCTCCAACTTCCCCAAACATTGAGAAGCGTAGACATCTTGTGAATATTTTAAAAAGCACCACCTCAAGTTTCTAGCCCTCATGGCCTTGGAGGGGGGACATGAAGGGAAGCATGCATGCATGAAACCTTAGAAGACAAAGCGGGGTGCCTAAGTGCAGATTTCCTGTTTTGGAGCGTGGGAAGTTAAATGCCTCCTTGCCCAGACCCTACAGCCAGGGGAAGTGGAATAAATTTCCCAAAAAGGGAAGAGAAAAGGACTTTGCGGAGGGGAGAAAGGGGGTGCGCCTCAATTGAGAGAGGAGGGGTGGTGCTCCGGGACCTTTTGCCCTTTTAATTCATTGTGGTGGGGAGAGGGGCTTGGGGGGAGAATTTCCTTGAGGGGGCAAAGGACGGAACAGGGGAGGGGGTAAAGTACAGCTTATTCCGCATTGTGTGTGTGTGTGTGTGTGGGGCGAGGGGGGGCTCCAAAATTCCTGTAAAGTCTATTTCCCTGTAAACTCGGTGGCAGCTGGAGCAAAGCCCCCGACCTGGTGTCCCCCAGGAATGCTGGCTGGGGATGCTGGGAGTCATAGTCCAGTGCCTCCAGCTGTTTGGGGGGAGGGGGAAAGAAGGGGGGGCAGCTCGATCCGTTTTGGGCAATCTCCCCTCCCCCCACCCGGAAAGGGGGAGGGGTCTCGGGGGGGCGCCCCAAACTCTCACCTGGCCAGAGCTGTAGTGCGTTGCCATGCTGCCTATCCCGACCTTTGTTTGGGCCGTCTCCTAGCAACGGTGGGGTGTGGGCGTGGCCAGTGGGGGATGCAAGCTTTCCGCCAATGAGAGAGTGGGGCCAGGAGCCACGCCTCTTTTCTAGGCCATTCTCCTTTCCCGTTCCAATTAGGGTCCCAGACCCTGCCCCTCCCCTCCCCTCCCTTCTCTTCTAGTCGTCTGGTCTGGGTTTCTCATTAAGGACTAGAAACTTGTGTTTGTACGTATATTTAATGGAAAAATAATAGCGTCGGTATAGGGAGCCTGAACTTTGGGCAGTTTCGATTTTTTGCTCAGCTATGCAGCTTGCTGGGTCCGGCTGTCCTGACTTGACCTACCTCATAGGACTGTTTTCTAGATAAATGGAGAAGAGAGAGAAACTTGCGTGACTGCTTGCAGGAAACTAGGGTGGAAATATAATTGTTGCTTATAAGGATGCCCCATTTCGTCCTCTTCCTTGTGTGTGGAATCGTGGCTGGCTCGTAGCCCCACATGTGTCTTAGCACAGGCGTGTTCCCGTGGCCCCTGAGCACACACAAAGAGCATCACGGGGTCTCCAGGTGCGTTTAGATCATGTGAAGAAATAAACCAAAAGTCTGGCTCCGAGGTTTGTGTGCCCAGAATTAATGTTCAGTGTTAAATTACCACGGCTGGATTCCCGAGAAGGTGCCCCTAGATTATTTATATATATATAATTAATCTTGGCCTATATAGCATCAGGGTGAAACTGGCAGGATAAATTGTTTTTGCTTCTCCTTCCAGCAGTTCTACACTGATTTCCCTAATCGGTTTGCTCAGTATATTGTAAAATCCACTCTCAAGGGAGATTCAGACACAGCCCCTACCTCTCCTTCGAGGCCACTGGGGCAGGAGGGGCCGAAGCAGGAGCTATTCCCGTGTGCCTCCCATGATCAAGGTTGCCTCGACAATCATTAAATTCTGTTTGCATGCATGGGGCAAAAACGATGGATTAATTTGCAAGGATAATTAAAAGAGGCCAGACGTGAGCACTGGGGCCTGTGGTTTTTCAGCACCGTCTGCTTACTTTTATTGGAAGATGTGACAAGCAGACCTGCTTCGTTTGCTAATGAGCTCACCTTGCATCGCATAGCTGGGAGGGGGTAAGCAATGCCGCAAGTTTATTTATTTACAATATTTTTAGCTCAGCTCTTAAACAGTCATAACGAGAAGCTTCCTGTGCAGAGGTGTATACTCTAAAAGGCAAGACATGAAAGGAAAAGTCCTTGGGAGGGCAGAGGAAAAAGAGAAAAGCAAAATGCAGGCATTAGTTCCTAGTTTCAAAGTTCTTATAGGTGTTCTTTCTGGCATGGAAGGGTGAAACAAGTTCCCCAAAATTGTTCCTGAGCACCTCCTTCCTCAGTATCCCAGTAGCCATTTCCACTGCCTCCCTGTTCTATATTTCTCCCCACCTTCTGCTACCAAAATCACAAAATCCATACAGACTGTTTCTGTTCAGATGGATTCCAGCTCTTTAGTGCCGCACATACTCCTAATATTCACCCTTAGCCCCAGCAGTGTTTGAATGTGCTGAATTATGTCAGGGTCAAAGAGGAACTTCTACGCGACTGTTCTGCCTGACCTGCTGCCCTTACCAAGCCTCTGAGTAAGCTGCAAGTTGACCTTGGAGCTGTCTTTTTGGAGGTGTTGGTGTGTGGAAATATGCTCAATTCTTCCATACTGAAAAGCAAGACATATTGGGAGCTGTTCCAACTCAAATTGTCTGCCTAGTCCAATAGCATCTACTCTTTACTGGCTGCGGGACTGAAAAAACACAAGGATTTTTCTGCTCATCTATTTCCTCTGGGCGGCCAACACTTTTTCATTCCATTTTAGAGATGAGTGAAGGCAGAAAGGGCAGCGAAAAATAGATTTTGGGGTGAGGATGAAATCTGCACGGTGGATAAGACCATGTCCGGCACGTCTTGTGGGGACGGCCTCACAAGGGAATTGGGCAAATGGATGGAGCAGAAAGCTCTCCGTGGCCACCAGTCCTGGCCAGTAGCTGGGGAAGATGGGTGGGAGAGTGCTGCTGCGTGTGGCTTGCTTGTGGCCAGCACGTTGGCCCCTCTGCGAATGCAAAAGTGGACTAGGTGGATCTGGAGTGACTCTTCTTTTACTCTTATGGGGAAAAGCAAACGAAATAGCTGCTTGGGGAAACGGAGAGGAGCCCAGGGGAAGATCTGGGCCGTGGTGTGTGGTCCTCTAGCTCTCTCCCTTTCCAGTGCCCCCCTGGAGACCTAGCGCAGCAAGACCATTTCAAACCACCCACTTTGGACTGTTCCGCCCTGCTGGAAAACAAGCCCTCGCTTTGTCAGCCCAAACCCCATCACCCCAGGCTCCTGGAATGCTGTGCCTACAGGCACGGGCCGGCCGGGAGCCGGATCCGATGGAAAGCTCGGCTCTGGAGCGCCGATTCCAAGGGATCAGGACGAAGAAGGGTGCATCCGTGCGCCCCGGCGTGGTTTCCCTTTGCCTGCCACGGAGAAGCTAATGCTGGGACTGGTTTTGAGCGGGAGGCAATGAAAAAGCGTTGCACGAGAGTTTGAAGAATGCGCGCAGGGTGCGAGATCGGCACGTAGGATCGTAACCTGTCCAACACCCACAGTCCTCCTCTGGGTAGGAATCCTGCCAGGACAGCCTCCTTTTGAGAGGTGGTTGGTCCGTTGGCCAGCCAGCCTTTGCTCCTCTCTTTAGTTGCCCTTCAGCTAAAAAAAACCTTAAAATCCCAGGACTGCTAATGGGTCCGGAACAGAGGACTGGAAAAGGACAGGGCAGCGCAGACAGAACAAGCCTAGTAATGCCAGAACTGCATCTTTCCACTTACTCTTCATGTCAGGTTAAAACCGGAGACATCTGGGGTCAAGAAGAACTCGGCCAAGGGAGACTTGAAGCCGCCATTTTGATTCCCCACAATCCCCCTTTTACGGTAGCGGCACTGCAGGGCATTGTGGGGAATTTAAATGTCAGCCCACCGCCATCTGCAGCCGCCCACCACAAACAGACATTGTTTCGAAAAGGCGAGGCTTCTGGCCAGGTTTCAACAGCGGCTTTGCCGGGTGTTGGTGCTTCTGTAGGTCTGTGCTCAGCCTGAATTCTGTTTCTTGACCCTGTAAGCCACCAAAGCATGGATTGCCATGAGGCGACGAGACAGGGACGGGCCTTCTTCGTGGTGGCCCCGAAAATCTCATTTTGTGTATGTGGGTGTCTGTGAACCGCTTTGGCCGTGTCTGAAGCGGGAAGTGCAGTATGAATGTTGTTGAAACAAGCATCGAAAGGAAAGGTCTGGGCTGGACCTGGATACCTCTAGGATCAGAGGCGGCAGGTGTGCTCGGGCAGTTGTCAAGGGCCCTTTCCTGGCAGGGGCCTACTGCCAAGGCTAATGGTGCAGAAGCAAGAAAGAAGAGCAGGAGACGCCACTGCAAATGAGGAACTGGGAGCAGTGAAGAAGAGGAGAGGGGAAAGAAGCTGGCCGCTGGAGGGGGTCGCGTTGCTGAGTGAGGGGGGCCTTATCCGAGGAATCTCCACCGGCTCGATCGTGTGCCATCCAAAGCCGCCGCTCCTCCTCAAGACGGTGAAGTCCGGGTCCGAAATGTTCACGCCACACCGCTGCAGGCGGGCAGAAACGATGCAGGCTTTTCGGCCGGGTCCCTGCACGTCTCCTACTTGCCGGTTCTCGCCTGGACCGGTCCGCATTCCTTCTCGAGGCTGTGACATCGGCCGCCCACTCCAGCCAGGAATGCGGCCGGACAAAGGCTGCCGTTTGTGCCGCTCTGCCGGCGGAGCGTGCTCACCCGTGTTCCGCCAGTGGAACGCCTAAATGCCCCCCTTTCACTTTTGTTCTCCGCTCTAGGGTTTCTCTCCCCCCCTCCCTGGCTCCGAGGGACCCCACGGAAGGGAGTGCCACGCTCCCATTGGCTCTGGGGGATTGCAGCGCCGGCATCCTCCCGAGGCCAGCCAGGTTCTTAAAGCCGGGGACCACCCTCGGAGGCACTCTTCGGAACGGGCTCGCCGTCCCCGCTGCCGACTCTTCCCCTCCATGCGGCTAGGAACTGTACAGTAGCCCCAAAAGCAACCCCCACACAAAAAGCCATGGGGTCTCCAGGCAGCGTGGGGAAGGAGGGACCCCTTCTGCTCACAGTGCTGGTATCAACAATGGGTAAGTTGGCTTTTCAGTCGTCGTCTTTGGAGTATGGGAGGGAACCTCAGAGGCCAGCTAGTCCAACCCGCTCCCACTGCATGGAGCAGGAATAGGAACGCATTCTTCTTGCAGAATACTCATGCAGTAAGACTTTTGGTCCTCCTGACCCAGAATTGCTGGCTGTGTCTTTGCAGGCTTTTTCCTTACCCAGCTTGGGGATCGAAGTGGGCCCTTTGACCGCAAAGCCGGTGCCCTGTCACTGGGCTGCAGCCCCTTCTCCCCAAAGTGCAGGAATCAACAGCCTCCGGTGACGGTCAGCCGGCCACCCACCACCTCTCAGGGCAGCCCGGTCAACCGGCAAATGACTCCAAGCCTTAGGGAGTTTGCCCTAATGCCCTCAGCACATGGAATTCGGGTGATTCCTCTGTTCAGATGTGCACAAATTAGCTCTCATTTCTGGGGATCTAGTTCTTCAGTTCTGTGAGTGCAATTAGCACTATTCATGTGGCTTGTCCTCAGCATCTGCAAACCCGGTTCTTTCTCCAGAAATTCCTCTCCTCTCCTCTCCTCTCCTCTCCTCTCCTCTCCTCTCCTCTCCTCTCCTGTAAAGTAGTGATATATACGTTCCAACCCATTCATTGTTGTTGTTAAAGGTGCCTAAAGGAGCAGCCCTGAGGCAGGGAGTTCCACAGCACTGCTTGCATTTGTCAGCAGAATAATTTCCTTTTCCAGTGTGGGAAGTGGGGCAAGGGGAGGGGGTCACCCTGGCGCTGGCGTCCCTTGTTTATTCCTCTTTGTGGTCTCTTACGCAACTCAATCTGGATCAGGGTTGTGCCGCAGATAAACGGCATTTGGGCAGAGCGTATTCAGAGCGGTTTTCTCCTCTGGAGCCAGTCTGATGATTTGAGCTGGAATTGCAAACCAGGCCACCAGAGCCCAGGGATGGTGATCCTCCGGAAGTGACTAGATCTGGGGGCGATCCTTATACTGCAAAGGAACCTTTGTTTAGCTTATCTGCTGGAGGACTGTGTCCCCGTGCCGCTCGCTCGCATGTCAAGCAAGAACTGTGCAGAGAAAGGGCTGGTCCTTCAGGCGGCAGGTGCTAGAAGGCGGCAGGAAGTGTGGGGGGAGATTGCCGTGGGGTCTGCAGCCTGACCCGCTTCCTCCTGGGGTGGGGGGTGATGCTGTCCCACTGCCGGCATGGAGGAAGGAGCCCACTGAGAATCCAGCCCACCTTCGCACGTGCAAACTGAGCAAGGGACGGTGGGAGGGGCTGAGAAGATCTGGGCCCTTTGGGTTGGTTGCTGGACATGCAAATGGTTGTGAGAGGAGGGCAGGGATTGGCGGAACGTAGGCGTAGGCGGCCGCCCACCTCCAGATGTTTTGGAGCTCTGGCTCCTAGGAGCCCCATAGCTGGCCATGCTGACCGGGGCTGAGGGAGCCATTGTCCAAAAGCCCCACAACATTGGGTTGCTTATCCCCACAGGGCACCTGTTTTTGGAAGCAGTGATGTTCGCTTTAGGGCAGAATCCCCCAGATTTTTGGGACTTCGGCTCCCATCAGCCCCCAGGCAACACAACCAAAGAGCAGGAATGCTGGGAGTTGTAGTGAAAACATCTGGGAGCACCAGGTTGGGGAACAGAAGACTCGATGTAGTCTGTCAGCTGGGTGGAGCTATATGGCGGCATTTTTGGAAGAGAACCCCTAAAAACAACGGCACAACTTTTAACGCATTGAAATTGTTAGGATTTCAGCGGCTTTGCTCTGACTGCCGCTGAAAATTTCCCAATAGCAGCTTTTAAAAACTCCCCCAAAACAATCCAGCCCTGTTAGGGTTCCAGGCATCACTTAAATTGCTTCTGTCTGCACTGCAGAGCATGTTGGGAGAAGCAATACATTTAATAAAATTTATATTGGTTTGGGATTTGCTCCCATTCTCTTTTGGAGACTCGATTTAAGCAAGCGCAGAGCAAGCAGAGAAAACAAAGCCGGGGCTATTAGAAAGGAATTGTCGTTTTCCAGGCTCGGAATGACTTGGACTTTACAGGTTGCATGTATTATCATGGGTGAACTACCTGCTTTTGTTTATCCAGTCCAATGTGGGTGGCATTCCTCACAGCCTCCTCCTCTAGCAAGCCCGGGAATGGGGATGATGGGATCTGTAGTCCAACATAGCTGGCCTAGAGGACTTATTAAAGTATAGCATCTTCCCTGGGGGTGGGGGAAGAGGTGGACTTCTCAGGATAGTTCTGAGATATTTTTTTAAACCCACAGGAAGAGCAACATGCAATCTCATGCCATCTAAAAGCAGCAGCAGACTCATTTAAAAACATGAGGGCTAAAGGAAAAGTTGATAGGGAACCAGTGATAATTCATGCAAGAAAGAGCTTTAGGCCATAGGAATGGATGAAGCTGTCAGGCCACCAGTCCATCTGACCCAAACTGACTGGCAACTCCTTTCCAGGGTTTCAGAAAAGCCTTTCCCAGCCATTCCTGGAGTTGCTGGAGCTTGAAACTTGAATCTCCTGCAGGCCCAGCAAGTCCTCTGCCATTGAGCAAAAATAAAGTAAGATTCTAGTCCTCATGGTTCGGAATTTAACGTTGATTGAAATAAGAACTTAGGAAGCAGGCCATTCGACCTAGTATATTCCACACTGGCTGGCAGCAATAGCCCTCCAGAATTTCAGGCAAGATTCTTTGCTTATCCCTCCCTGGAGATGCTAGGAATCGAACCTGGTGCTTTCCGTGTGCAAAGCAGGGGCTGCAACACTCAGCATTGGACTCTGCGTCCGTCTTGCACCCCCCACCCCAGGCAGTCGGGATCTGACAGGATCAGCAGCCAAGCTCCCGTCTTACCCATCTCTTACTCCTCCAGCCTTTTCACCGGAGACGCAAAGGAAAGAGATGCACAGAGTTTACCCTTGGCAGTTTTACTTGGTGACCTTTCCTGTGGAGTTTCTTGACTGAGCAAGGCACCGAACGGACGGGGGCTTAGAAAACATCCCAGATGGGAAGCCAAGGCCCCCAGGTGATGCTCTTTACGGGGTGGGCGATTTTCCGGGCAGTGTGCCACCCCTTGTCGGGTGGCCGCGCGGCTTGTTTTGCTCAGCGCAGTCCTTCCTTGAAGCTCTCCCTTACCTGAACAGGGTGCCTGGTCCACAAAAATTAAAAGCAGCCCTTTGAATTCTGCTGGACTAAAGATCCAGCGAAGTTGTTTAGGAATTGACAGGTCTGATGCTGATGGGCACATAACATTTATACCACGCTTTTCTCCCTCTTGCAAGGAAGCCAAAGCAGCCTCTGAGGTTCTCGTCCTCTCCATTTTATCCTCACAACCCCCCTGTGAAGTAGGCTAGGCTGATTGTTCACGACTCGCCCAAAGTCACCCAGTGAGCTGAGTGGGAAGCAGAACCCTGATCTGCTGAGTCCGAATCCAGCAGTCAAACCATCCCACCGGCCCTTCAGTGTTTCACCCCCTCTTCCCTGGCTGTGAAACTTTCAGGACTGACTTGGTTTGGGGCTAAAATGTTGAGACCCACCCACAGGATCTTGGTACAAAGACCTACACTTAAAGAATGAATTCTGAGCCCAAAGGTTTGGGGCTGGGTTTTCTTCCTTTCAGCTGCACAATTAAGACAGAACATCTGGCTGAGGAGTCATGTTTTTGCTTGTTAAATATTACAATAGATTAGCAAGAAATCCCAAGATCTATTGACTCTCTTTCCTTGGTCTAGGGCGCCAGAAACAGTATTTCAGGCAGACGGATTATCCTCCAAGGCACTGAAGGAGTCTCCATGCATTTCAGTGAATGCATGAAAGTCATGTGGAGTGGAGGGTACCAGAGCTGGGAGAAAGGCTAGCCAGATCCACTCCCTGGTTTTCTGCGGGGCAGAATTGCTTGGGCACATCAGAAAGGTGCCCTCAGTCCAAGCTGAATGTGTGGCATTGCCCGAGTCGACAGTTTGACTCATCACAAGCTCTGCAGCTGAAAAAGATGCCCCATTACTGACCATCTTTAAAAGCAAAAACCCACGTCCCGAACGCTGTCCCTTAGATCTTAGCATCTCACATGTGCTTTCTGCTGTGACGTGCCCTCGAGTCATCTCTGATTTATGGTGGCCCTGTAAATGAAAACCATCCAAAATGTCATGTCCTTGACTCAAGACTGCTCTCATATTAGTTTCGTCTCTGGCTATGCAATTTCAGGGTCCTGGGGGACACGAGAGTCTGGCAGTAAGCACTGCAGAGTGATTCTTTCCTTCTTAAATTACAGAGAACTATCTAAGTTAATCTATTTATTTCTAATACTGATAAACTGCTCCTTAACAAGCATCAGGGTTCAATGCACAACATTAAAACAAGCAAATGAACGCAAGGTAAGATGATACAATTCTACCTCAAAGGATAAAGGGAGGCAGTTACTCCCCATTCCATCAGACAAACTGCACTGGCAGTTCAACTTAAAAATGAAGTTCGCATTGTAAAATTGGATAATGTTAAAATGTGTGAGCGACAAGGAGGGTTTTAACTTTATGTTGGGGGTGAGGTGGGGTGTCTGATCACTGGGAGGGTGTGCCAGACCTGGCATATTGTTGCAAAGAACCTGCATGTGATGCTTCCGTGGTCCATTTCACTGGAAGTAGAAGTGTTTGGATTAACTCTCAGGATTAAATCTCAGGATTATCTCAGGCATGGAGCTAAGGGTGGGCATCCTTTCTGCATTTTCGAACTGTGTGTTTCAGGTGTATAGCAAGAATTGTGCTTCCCTTTTCCGGACCATGTGAGTTCTAAGCGTGTCTTGGGTCACTGGTGTGCCGGTTTTCCACCTCTCACTGGGTCTTTCCATCTCCGTGCTGAGAAGACCACAGCTCTCCTTGCAATTCATCCTCGTGGCAACGACCATGTGAGGTGGGCTAGGCTGAAGAGGCCGTGACTGGCCCAAAGCTGCTGGGTGAGCTCCGTGGCCGAGCGGGGACTCGAACCCAGATCGCCTGAGTCCCAGGCCCGTTCTTTTAGCCACTGCACCCCAGGGGCTGCCAGCGTGGGAGACGCGTCTCCCCAACCCAGCATGGATCGCTGGTTTGGGGAGATGTTGGGGAGCACCCACATACTCAGTGGGTGCCACTTACAGAAACGAAAAGCAAGGTACAACACCTTTCTCACCCATCTCATTTCATCTCTTGATGGGAGGCACAGTGCAAAGATACCCAAGGTGCCCCAAATCTGCAAACTTACCACATGCTCTCTGAACACTGAAAGCACAAAAATGGCCAGGAACTTAAAACCTGGAAGCATGAAACCATCTTCACCTGCCAGAGGAAAGATATCTGTGTGGGTGGCAGGAAGCTTCCCAGGGGAAGATGTACAAACACCCCAGATTTTTCAGAGAGTGTTCCCACTGCAGTTCTCACTGGCTCAAAATCTGGAGAGCGCCACTCAAGATACATTATGCAATGTACATAATTTCTGCATAGGCCTAAAAAATTAGGGGTTTATCTGACTTGGACCTACGATTAGATTCACTGCGCGTTTGTAAAGGAGACGGGTTAACGAAGGACTGTGGCTTGGCGGACAGTCAAAAATTATGATCACCCAGTTGCGACCTTTTGCTGAATTTATCATCATTTTTCTGCACAACTTGGATTCGGTATCGGTAAAGAGACAGGGTCTGTGAGCCGCGTCCAGCGAATTTCACTCAGAAATGTCAAAGGCAGTTGCTTCCAGTATCATTTTCGGTAAGGATGCCCGTGTATACTCGGAGATGGGATCGCCAGATTGGCAGTGGGTTCAAGACACAGGAATGGTTTTCTTTACGCTGCACCAAGCAAGCAGGTGGAACTTTTGTCTCCGGGTCACTCTGGCATTTTAAGAAGGCAGCCTGGCAGAAGACAGCCAACCTCCTACGTCAGGTCCAGACCAAGTAAAGCCTGGTCTAATTTAAGAAAAACCCAGGGGGCTGTTTCCCATTATGAGAAGCACCAGGGGGCATCCAGTCTGGAGTGGCGCATCCGACTGGCCAGTTTTATGGTGATGCCTTGGGAAAAGAGCAGGCGGGAGCTTGAAGAAACGGCCCTCTGTGTCGGAATTTGCCCGAGGGCGGACCAAAAGGGCTGGATTGTGTGGGGGACAATGAGCCGCTGTGATTCGAAATGTCGCCCCAGACGGGCTTCTGGGTAGCTCAGCAAAGTCCTCGGCTCCTTCGGCCGCGTTGGTGGCTCTGGCCCGCCTCCGTGGCGGATGGATGGATGAGGGGGTGGACGCGCCGAACAAAAGTCTCTCAGGACCCGGAGCCCGGACGAACTTTTCTCTCTAACAAAGGAGTTTTCTGTGCCTCCACCTCATGCCACGGGGCCCAGGCCCAAGTAGGAATGCTGCGTGGGTCTCAGGGCCGCATCTCCCAGTCGTAGCCCAGCGGCTCCAATCTCTGGGGGGCAAGGTCTGAAGTCCCACTGGGCACAGATGTGCTTCAGGCCACACCATCCTCATTTAAGCTTTAACTGAGGCCACAATCAGGTGCATCCCCTGCCCCCATGGAAAAACATGCCAGGGAGGGCACCGACTTAGCCTCGTACATCTGTGAGAGAAGGCGCATCTGCAGGGTCTTGAAAGAACTGTTATGAGCACTTTAAAGCTAAGAATTTGTTTATTTATTTAGAAAATTTCTATGCTGCCCCATTCGCCGAATCTGCACCTGCATGTTTCCTCCTCCCTCATGCCCTTTCCTTTCATGCTGTGGCTTTCCTATTGCAACCAGGCTCTCATAATGTGATTTTAAGCTCTTTGGCCGAAGTCCAGGATAAAAACATGATACATACATCAATAAATCAAGGCTTGAACAGCAGAAGCCAGGTTTTCAGGGCCAGCTCTGCCATTAGACGGAGTAGGAGGACTGCCCTGGCCGTTTCTACCGAACCTTCCCCTCCCTGCCAGCTATTCCTCTCTGTGCCGCATCTCCCATCCTGCTCCTTGCAGGTGAGAGTGCTGCGTAGTGCCAAAATGACACTGGCATGAAAGGATGGTGTTCGGAGTCCTGACACTGAATGGTCCTCAGGGTCTTGCTCCAGTCCCAGTGTCCCCCAAGCTTTTTCCTGCAAGGCCTGCTTCTCCCGTATGAGCCTGCCCTTAGACGGTGATTTTCTTCGGAGGCCCTGCCCTGTGCCCCATCACTAACAAAGGCTTGGCTGGGACAGGGGAGGGACAGGGCCTTCCCTGTGGTAGCACCCAGCCTCTGGAATTCCCTCCCAAAGAGACCATGCCCATCCCTGCTAGCATCCTGGCAAGCAGCAAAAATCTCCTCCTGCTTGGCTTTTAATATGGGACCAACAATGCCCTTTCCACGTTCTGTTTAAATTGTGTTAGCACTCATACTCCTGTGGCTGATCACTGTTGGAAACAGGATACTGGGACGGACCGGGCCATTGCAGCAATTCAGCAGGCCTCTTCTTAAATTGTTCCTGGAATCTCTATGTTGGTATAAGAGGCAAAGGAAAGCAAAATGCTTAATATTGAATTGTTTATGCTGAAAGAATGAGTGATCATTTTTACTTATCAGGGATCTTACATATCAGTCTGTGCGTCAGCTGATGGTGGAAATGGCTAGCTTTTAAAATGAAGTTTTATAGTTTGTCTCCTTTTAGGGAAAAAAGACATTTATTATGCCGAAATCCTGTTCTTCCAAAGGGGTCCCAATGGCCTCCATCAAAAAGACCCTGTAACTTAGCTTCAGGGCCAGCTCAGCCTGCCATAGACCCTTCCCTGGTTGTTAAACTAATTTGCAATCTGTCTTGATCAGCCCCTTGGGAAACCAGTCTTAGAAATGTTCCTTAATCTTTAAAAAGGTACCCATGTTGAGATTTTAAGAAACGTGCAAATGGCCTTAAAAAATCAGTTAGAGAATCAGATTGGAGACAAATTATTCATGGTAATAATACATCATTAATGGTTATTGCAGGCAGAATATGCAGTAGCTGAACATAATTTCTTGCGCTCCATATCCCTAGTCTCTGTATTTGGGTGTGTGTATCCGGCTGGATGCCCGCTTGGCCTTGTCGGTGTCCTGAGTCTGGAGCACCTGGGAGAAATTGCCCTTCTTGATTTCTTCTCTTCGCAGTGCTATCTCCATCCTTGGCTATTAACGTTTACACGGCCAGTGAAGTCCACGGCACAGTGGGCTCCAAGGTGACCCTTTCCTGTACCTTTTGGTCGAACGAATGGATCTCCGATGACATTTCTGTCACCTGGCACTTTCAGCCCGAGAGTAGCCGAGACGCCATTTCGGTAAGGCACGGATTTCAGCCTGCCCTCCTCTGACCCGAGACAAGTTTTCTTCCACTGGATGCAACTTAGAGAGGGGTTAGGAGACCTTGCTCCCTAGCGACCAGCGTTTTCCCCCAAGCAGTCTGCCCTAAAACTGCATGAGTCCCACAGCTTTTCCACATAGACCCCCAAGAGAAGCCCAGGGGTTTTTGCTAGACACTGAAAAGATTTGAGCAAGGCTCTGGACTGTGGGACCCAAAGCAGCATGTGCTAAACATATAGAAATTCTATATCCATTTACTTCTAGTTAACACTGTAGTTTTCACTCTTAAAATTTTGATACTGTGCTTTATACTGTACCATATCTTTGGAACTGGTTAAAATCATTGCAAACCCTGCTGGGAGTTTCAGCAATTGGACACACTGAAATTGTAATGAAAGAATGGCTATTTGGAAGTCATTACTAGGTTGTATTTAAATTTCACAGAAGGCACAGCCAGCCTCTCAAATTCTCATCCAAATCATCTCAAAGGACATACACCCCTCGGCTCAGTTGCCCAATGACCCCGGTTATCCTAAGGCAAAGTTTTAAAAAGGGCCGATGGTTGTGAGCATAATTGTCATGCAGGGAGAGATTGTTCCCCCCAGAGGGTGGGTTGAAGCCTCGAGGGAAGGAGACTCTGAAATCTCTCCCTTCCGAGCTGCCATTGCTCTTGAAAATTGCTTTCTATATTGCCATGAATCCAAGGACGATGTTGCCCACAAACAGGCACTCTGGGTGCTATGAGTTAGACCCAGGACTCTGGAAAACACATTCCACCTCCAGGAACACATGAATTCTTGCCAAACCCCAACACTTAGCTGAGCGATTACCAAAAACAAGGGGGTGGTTCAGCCTTTTTTTTTTGCAAGCAAAGCACCCTCTCCCTCCATCTGCTCCATTCTGTTTCTCACTCTGTCTGCCCAAATATTTTACCCTATCCCTTCGCCCTTTAACCTCACCCCACTTGCCTTCATCTCCCTCCACTGCTGATATATACTTTCATTATGTTCCAGATATTTCACTATGCTAAAGGCCAGGCTTACATAGACAACGTTGGTGTCTTCAAGGATCGAATCGAATTCATCGGGAACCCTCGTTGGAAAGACGGCTCCATCATCGTCCACGACCTGGAATACACCGATAACGGCACTTTTACCTGCGATGTTAAGAATCCCCCTGACATTGTGGGAAAGTCGTCCCAAGTTATGCTCTATGTCTTTGAAAATGGTAATCTTTCCTGTCTGGCTGAAATATTGTCACGGGCACCGGTGCCCTGAGCACCGTGTCTTTTCTGCTCCTCTTCCCCAGTCGCACCCAAATGTGGTGAACAGAACACGGGTTTCGGCATGTTATGGTCAGCTCAGGGGGCAGGGAAAGGCACGGATCCAGGATACCCTGGGCAGCCAAGCCTGTTGCGTGTACGGCGTGCGAAAACAATTCAAATCCATGTTGCCCAAGATCATCTATATGGATAAATGCCCCTTTTTATTCTCCCAGTATTTTAATTGTTGACCTGTTTTATTTAGAGGGTGTATATTTTAACATCGGATGCTGGGCAACTGTTATTCTTATTTCTGCTTTTATTTTATTGTATTGATCTGCTGTAAACCATCCCGAGATGTCTGTGTTGGGACGGTCATTAGAAAAGCTTTAAATAAGAAAAAAAAATGCTTACATGCTGGAAGGCGGACACAGCTCTGCAAACAAAGCAGGGTGTTGAATCTATTTGGCCCGAGGGATGAATTCAGTTTAGATGATCATCCGACAAGGGTCCATTTAATTCAATATCCTGTTCACACCATCTCCAGACTGATAGGATCCCACAAGGAGTGCCACGGGACCCTCTTACCCATGTTCCCCAGCAACGCTGGTTAGCCGGCAGCCTCTGATCCTGGAGGGAGCATGTAGGCCTCAGGAGTAAAGGCCATGGGTGACCTTTCTGCTCCAGGAATCGGTCCTGTCCATCCCCTTTTAGAACCCTCCAATTTGGTGGCCACTCCTCCGCCTCGCGGAAGCGAAGTCCATCATTTTAACACTGCATGGTAGGAGGAAATGCCTCCTTCCACCCTGAATCTGCTCCCATCCGCTTCATGGGGGGATCCCATTGCCGTTTAGGGTGCAGAGAGCAGGGAAGAGATGTCTCCTGGCCCTTTTCCCCGCCCCACGCATCAATTTGCACCCCTCGCTCACGCCTGCCCTTCCTTGCCTCTTTTCCGAGCTGAACAATCCCAGATGTTGTGATTTTTTTATCCCAGGGGAGTAGCTGCACCTCCTCGGTCATCCGAGGTGCCCTTTTCTTCATCAAGGCACTTTCAGGACTGACTTTCTGTTCTGGGTGGAGCCGAAGGGGAAGCTTAGAGGGAACCCCGGAAGTGCGGAGTTTGTCTCTGCTGCTTCCTCCAGTCTAAGCGCATGCCTCCTTTTCTCTCTTCTTCCTCCTCCTCCACAGTCCCTACTCGGTATGGCGTGGTGTTGGGGGCCGTCATTGGGGGAGTCCTCCTTGTGGTCCTGGTTGTCTTGGTGATAGCTTATCTCATCCGGTATTGCTGGCTCAGGAGGCAAGCCACGCTGCAGCGGAGACTCAGGTAACGGTGGGTTCGGGCAATGCAATAACCCACGCTGGGTCGAGTGGGGGTTGCTGACAAGCCATGCTTGTTGTCTGACCCCAGCCTCAATAGCGAACCACGGTGAGCATTGCACAGCTCACAACCCGACAACAAACCCCGGGTTCCGCCTGTTTTACAAACCATGGCTTGTTAGAGCCCCTCAGTTCCCACAGCACAACAACCCACGTTTGTTCAACCCTGGAAGGTGGGTTATCACCTGGTCTGGATCCAGTCCCATGCGTCCCGCTACATTTTAAGAGCGGGGAGGATTGTTTAGTGACCCTTAGATTCTCCCCCAACTCCTCTGCCGTCCTTAATGTTGCATTCATGGGGACTCGAGCCTTCGGTGTAGAATGCTCACCCCGCCAGCCTCAGGTTTTGCTTTCCCGGCAAGGTCCCCGCCGTCCAAACCCTTTCGAGCACTTAAGTCGAGCACACGGGAACTGACCTGTCTCAATTTCATTTCAGCGCCATGGAGAAAGGCAAGCTGAGGCTGGGCAAAGATTCTTCGAAAAGAGGCCGTCAGGTAAGTGTGGGAAGGAAGAGGAGATGAGTCTAAGCTGGAGGGCAAACGGGGCTTCAGAGCAAGATTCCCCCAAATGCTGGAGGGAGCCGGGACCAGTCGGAAGGGGAAAGGGGAGCGGGCAGAAGGAAGGGCGTGGCACGCCAGAGCTTGGAAATCTAGGATACCACCCCTCCCATCATCCCCCACAGCCTGGAGTGGGCTTTAGAGGCGGATGGAAGGAGACAAGTCTTGTCTGGCAGCGACAAGCCACGCTTCCTCCCAGGAACAGACATGTGGGTCCTCAGGCACGATCCCATAGGACTGGGGGCTCTGATTGTTCATCCAGGCGGAGACGGGCCTCTTGGCTCTATTGCGGCTCCCCTGCCATCGGGTTTGCTAGCCAGTCGCAGGGTTTGTAGGCCCAAACTTCCGGAGGACCACGAGCGCTCTGCATCCCGGCTACCGCGTGAGACCGGGGCTGCTTCAGGACTATTTCCATGGCTAAAGATGCGTAAAGATTCAGATACGAGGGCCTCTCTCCACGACTTCTTGTGGAGACTCTCTCCCTGTCTCTCCTCCCCACACATCACCTTCTCTTGGCTTCCCCTTCCCGCCCTTCCAGCCTCCCGTCCTGTACGCCATGCTGGATCACAGCCGCTTCACCAAGTCGGTGAGTGAGAAGAAATCCAAGGGAGGCCTGGGGGAGTCCCGCAAAGATAAGAAATAGCGGTTAGCCAGCAGAGAAGGTACCCAGAAGAAAGCGGGCGATAAGAAGGTCATCATGACCATCGAGATGGAACTGAAGAGGGACCAGCTCGAGGCGGAGGGCCTCAAGCCCGCTGTCAAGTCTCCCAGCAAGAACAGTCTCAAAAACGCGCTCAAGAGCATCATCAAAAGTGATTCGGAAAAGTAATCTGAAGCGTGTGGCGGGGGGAATGATCCTAGCCTCTCTCTGGGGGCCCGGGATGCGTTCCCCTCCGCCAGCCCTCTTGGCTTCGTACTACGCACACTCTTTCCTTAGCCCGACTGGTGGAGGGCTGATGGGAATTTTGGCGTCCGGAAATCGGCTCAGTCTCTGGCCCTCTTTGACGGAAATTTTAGCAAAACATTTGGTGCGTCCATGGAAGAACAAGGAGAGCTGAGGTTGGGTGATCACCGCTTACTATTCAACCGATGTCCTTTCTCCAGGTTAGGAGTATTTTCCTCCATTGAGTCCAGAAACGGACCACTTAAAAGTCTGGGGACACCATGATATCCCAGTTTTGGTAGAGTGAACCCCACAGCCTCGTGTCCCCACTCTCCAGAGCTCTTCCTGTGAGGGAGTGAGAAGTCCCCAAGTAACCCCCCCCCCCATGGCCACAGCCTCTGTGTGAAAGCTGGACTTCCAGTCCACGCAAACACAAAACAGACAGGTTGTTTTACCTCTCCCTTTCCCCATGGAGCATCGATTTTCCATTTCAGAAGGACCTTCTTCAACCTGAGACACCAGGGTCCCAAATTCCCATCAGCCACTAGGCCTGGTACAAGACCATGAGGACTAGCTAACCTAGTGTCCCATCCCCAAAGTATCTCCCTCAAAAACCCCAGTGTCTTCAGCATTGGCACAAAAGAGACACACCCCAAGAAAAAGTGGTACCTTCTACTGCTCAGACATCTGTGAGATAACCCTCTTCTGCTCGGTGAGCCGAGCACAGGTGTAATTTTTCTTTTTCTTTTTAATCCAAGGACCAAATATATGTATGCATGTCTTTGAGATTCAGAAGGATGGTTTAATTCAGAGATCATGGCGTTCCACCGTCGATTGCTTACTTCTCTTAGGAACTCAGTCCTGATTTATGGGTACTCTAAGCTCAGTGGGGGAACAAAAGGGATATGGGTGAAAATGGATGTTTTTTGTTGTTTCGATTTGTTTTTTGAAATGGCTATCCTGTTTTGCCAGTACTTCGTCCTTGCCTGCTTTCACACTTGGGCAAACTCTTCTTGTCCCATTCCTGGGGAAAATACTGTACCATTTATTCAGCACAGAATTTCCTTTAGGCAAATTTGGATGTCCCAAACCGGGTGAAACATCTGAGGAATTTTGCAGGCAGTAAGAAAACTGTCGCGGGCTGCCCACAAAATTTCTTAGGGAGGGGTGTCACCCATCTCCAGGCCAGCCCCAAATTTTGCCAAAATCGAAATCCTGGGCCAGCTGTGAAGGAAACTGGGCAAAAAGCATCGGAGGAATTCTGGAGGAAAGCTTTCAAAACCTTGATCAGAAGATATCCACTGGCGGGTGCCTACACATCTGTTCCAAAATCACACAAACGTCTCAGTATCGCCCTCTAACCACACCTTGGATTCCGTCGAGGTGAATTAAGCCATCCTTGCAGAAAGCCCTTCCAAAAGTGTTATTAGTACTTGATTAACTATTGATCTATTTCTGGCTAGCGTGTCTTTCTCTCTTCCCTGTGACCGATCTCCACATGACGTCACAAGGCTAACAGCCCTTATTTTGCCTTCCCATTTCTCTCGACCCACACGTCTGGTGGCCTGCCCTCTTCCCTTCCCAGATTAATTCCTCCATGACAACAATTCTGTCAGCCTGACAGCCTCCAAGTACAAATTTTCCGGAGGGTGACCGGTCCACGAGTCCAACAGAAAGCACCGTACTACTGAGGGTTTTATCCCATCTTTCACCTCAATTTGGACACAGTCCTGTACTTTCCGCTGTACACTTCCACTCTTCCCATGAGCTTACAGAAACTCCCTTCCCGCTACTGGGTGGGGAAGCTCACCGCATCAACACACGACGCTACAGAAATGTACATAGCAAGCCATGCACGCTCCCTTTCCGTGTAGCCTGTAACGTCTGCAAAAACTCCTAGAAGACTAAACAGAATTTTTTAAAATGTTATGTATGGTGATATATTTCCTTTTTCTTCGCAGGGTTGGTGGGAGGGGGCTTTCTCAGCGTTGTGTACATTCTCAAAAACTGCAGCAGCAACCAAAAATGACACCATTAAAAAAATCTTAATAAAAAGACTGACATTTCTATCCAGTCTCTTTTCTGTTCTGTTGTAAAAAAAGCCGCTCAAATATGTTTAAAGCAAGGCTTGGCCACTTTTGGATATCAGGCAAAATTTAGCCTCTTGCTGGAGAATCGTGGCTATCCGGTCTGAAAATCTGTTGCCCCCAACGAGCCGATACTTTGACTGACTTGACTATGTTCTCCCGACTGGCCAATACCAATGCTCTGTCTATGAGTGCTACTCCTAAAAAATTGGGCATTAAATGCATGTTTAACTGTTGATGCAAAGGTTTGGGAATGATGTATAACAGATGCCAAAGATGGAAAGGGGAAAGAGACCTATGAAAGACTGACAGTTAAAGAAGAGGGTCTAAAAAAGGAGGATGCAGCATTTAAATCTCAAATCGAAGGTTCAAATTTTGTACTGCACTGGAAAAAAGTAGCGTTGGAATCTGCACAGAACTCTCCTTTTGGAAATCTAACTCACAATTCCTCACAGAGGACTTGTCCAATTAGTTCAAGTAAGTTAGCACAAGTAGATTGCGGCTCAAACCCCAGGAGTGTCCTATTAGCACGTCTAAAGACTTTGCTGGCAAGTTTCATTTAGGGAGCAACCAGCCGGAAAGGAGTAAAGGAGTCCCAAAGTAGGGAACACTCAGAAATACTCTTTCTCAGGGCTGAAACCATTCCAGCTAAGGGTTGCCAACTTCTGTTGTGTTTACCAGCCCGGCTCCCGCGCTTTCCATTGCAGGCGAACAACAGAAAAGAAGCCAGTGGTGTGTCTCTCCCTTGTCTCCACCTCCATGCAAGAACGTCACTTGCTGAATTTCAGTCAAACTCACAACGGCTGGGCCATGAAAAATAAAAATTCAATGTCACCAATGATGAAAGTGAAATTGGGAAAGAATTTTCCTATCTTGGCTCAAGCATCGGTTCAAGGTGCAGTCAAGAAATTAGAAGACTGCAGCTTGGCAGGGTAGCAATGATAGTCAAATCTGAGGACTTTTCGCGGGAGACCATACAACTATCTTCCCAGTCACTTAAGTAGAGGGTGTGAAAGCTGGAAAGGAAAAGGGGGAAAGTTGGTGTGTTCAGAATGGAGAGTTTTGCAAATCTGAGAGAAGGACAGATAAGTGGGTCCTCATTCAAATGAAGCCAGAGCTTTCCCTGGAAGCAGAAATTATTAAACTGAGGCTGTCAAACTTCAGCCACTGGAGAAAAGCACCATTAGGAAGCTGTTCCGAGAGCCCCTGCCTAATGAACAAGATATTAAAACCTAAATTAGTAAGTTAGGGGTGCCCATATTGGGCACCCGAAGTTCTGGAGAAGGAATCTCCAAAAAACGATGATGCCAGCAACTGGCACTTGGAATATTTTTAATGTGGCTTCCCCAAGAGAGGAAAAAAGTCCACAGAAAGACTTACTGAGGCTGATACCCCGAAATAACATTCCGGAAAGAACATGGGCACAGTTGGAAACTTGCCCTCCTTTTCTTGAGTGTTCATAATGTCACAGGATGCTAAGCCTCGGTTTCGCCAGTTTTTGACTCGCGTCCTGGAACACGCCAAGCGACACAAATGCCACCTGTTGATGGAGTCTCTTTGTTGTCAAGATTTAAGGAACAAAACCACGTTAGGGTTCTTTTTAATGCAAACTCCATCTTCGCAAGCAATTATTTAATTCTAAGTACTCGATGCAGGGGGTACCCATCTGCTTCCACTTTCCACGGTTCAGGTCGCTCTGCAGGAAAAGTCTCTTGATTGCTGTTGGCATCGTGCCGAATGTTTCCAGCAATATTTGGATGTCTTCATTCCGTGTGGAAATATCTATCGGAGCTTTGCAGAGCATGTGTTTGGTGCAAGACGGAGTCCTGGCGGGGACCAAGGGAAATTGCTTTATCATTGTGTATTTAAATTATGGAAGTATTCACCGGACCTTCCAGGCAAAACGGGAATGTGAGTGAAATGAATAAATACATATTCACCAGGTACAAGAAAATGGCTCTGGCATAGAGTTATATAACAAGAAAATGGCACTTTTTGACTCAGATGGAAGTTGTGCCATTAAAAACAGCTTTACCTCCCTCCGTGGAGCCTGATTTTCTGGAGCATTAACTGTCTTTGTGAACTTCTGTACCTTTGGATGATAACAGCACACTGCATTCTGTAGCAAATATGTTGGTATTAAAATACATCAATAAATACGGAACAAAATTTGCTCGAATCCCACTCAGTTGTTAAGAGAAAATCCCCTTGACTTGGAGTGCTGAGATTCTCTTGGGGTGTAGAAAAAAATCAGCCTATAGGCAAAGACCTCCGACTGATAGGGACGGAAGGTTTTGAGCATTTTTCTCTCCTCTCCTTGCAAACTGCAGGCCCAAAGTGGCCAGAAATATTTTTAAAAATTAAACATTAATATTTATTTTAAATTTTATGATATTTGAAATGTTAGAATATTTAAATAAGCTCAGGGGTGCACATCTATCTATCTATCTATCTATCTATCTATCTATCTATCTATCTATCTATCTAGTATCTATTATCTATCTATTCATCCATCTTTGCATCTATCATCTATCTACGTATCTATAATCTATCATCTATCTATGTATCTATTTATCAGCTATCTTTTAATCTTTCATCTATCTATGTATCTCTATCTATTTATCCATCCATCCATCATCTACCTACCTACCTATTAATTAATTCTCCCCTTGCACTCTCCATAACCCACCTCCAGTTTGAGAGAAACAGAGAAGGAAATTCAAGGCAGCCTGGTTCTTTTCCCCTGATGATTTTATTCACATGCTAAAAGAGTCAGTCCTCAGAGGGGCTTTGCCAATGCCCCTGCGGTGGGTGACGCCTTGGCCCTTGGCGGACGGGCCGTGAAACTACGCCGCAGCCGGGGTGGGGAGGGGTGCAGCCAGCGGGGGCCCAGCGCGGTGCTGCGTACTCGCCTTCAGCACAAGTTCCGGGGCAGGTGGGTGTGATGTGGTACAGCCCTCTCCTGCCGGCGGGATAGGCAGAGCCAAGGTGTGGGGGTCGCGCAGTAGGATGGGCTTGGGAGCTGGACAAAAGGCGCAATGAGCAACCGTTAAAGAGCTTTCTCCTCCCCAGTTTCCCCCCACTGGGTGGATAGATGCACGTCAAGACGTGAGCGATCGACCGGTTTAATCCTGCCGTTCCTTGTTTGGACCAGTTCTTGGATCCCATTCACTCTCCCCTTGGCTTTTGCGTCGGAACCCCTGGCATTAACTGGGATTGCTAGCAGTGAACTTAATCCTTCGGCGAAGCTCACTCGGACTGAAAAGTGTATATGCCAGGTTGGCAAGCACAGACTTTGCCTGGCCAGACCTGTCGTAAGAGCCCGATCTGGAAAATTAGGTAGACTTTGCAAGAGATCAGGTGTCAGCATTGTGGCAAACCAAGTGGCGCCTGCAGATTTAATGGCAGGGAGCTTGTACGGCAAGTACATTCTTGGTTGCAGCTGACCTCTTGCAAAGTGTATGTTAATCCCAAAAATATGCTCTCGGAGGGAGCAAGTCTCCCCGATGAACTTAATGCCGAGCAAGACCGCTCGTATGGCAAGTTCATGGGTATTTGTGCATGTTTAGTGCAAATTATTTATCTTTTAACATGCTTGCCCACAACTGAGGTGGCAAGACTAGATTTTTTCCTGTTCCTTGGTCATATGGTTGGAATGGGGATTCAAAACACAGATGGATGGTTGCAAAGATGGAATTAGGGTTCTCATTTAGACTGAGTTGATTGAGATCTGTATTTCACAGGGCAAAGGTGACTGTCAGTTGCTTCCACTTATACTGCTGTTACCCTATAAAACCTTGTGACTTAATAAATTTGTTATTATTCCAGGCGTCCCAGGACCTGCCACAACATTCACGCTGACCACCAGAGCAAGACACCTGTAAGTGTGAGAGAGGTATATGCAGAATACGTTTGAAACCTGACAAATTTGGCCTGTTTAAAAACTCCAACTTTCAGTCTGCATGTTGGGACTTTGTAAGTATTGAACAGATGTAAGTATTGAACAAAACTCGCCCATCTTCTCTCAAAGGTGGCATTTGCTACGAACAAACAAATGAAGGTTGAAATCCCTAGCATGGCATTCACTGTGCAAGACTCACAGGCAGGTTCTTTCTACCCCCGCAAAGGTTCTCCTAGATTAGTGTGACGTTTTCCATTTTAAAGGGAAATTGCTGCCATATATTTGTGGAGGAATAAGTTTTCACCCTGCTGTTTCTGGGGTGGCGGGGAGGAAGAGAAGGGGGACGCCTTGGAAGAATGCAATGAATCATGAAGCTATATCTGGGTGCCGAGACAGATCCCCGAAAATCCGCATGCAAGTCTAGGAGCGGTTTTCTTGCTACTTCTGTACTCCCACCATGGCTTTCTGCGACAGAAAATGCTACGCTGCCTGTATCGTGGTTTTGGGACCGTGGGACACCCCCAAGGTGGGTGCCTGGGGAGCCACGGGGAGCCGTGAGCGAGCCCCTGGGTTATCCCAAGGAGAGTCCAACCCTCACTCACCCCTGCTTTGGGTAGATTAACGTGCAGAAAACAAAGCAAAAGAAACCCCCCCCGGCCCCACCGAAGGGCTGGAAGGGGGAGAACAGAGTGCGCCAGGTGGAGTGTTTCGGGGCAGGCGGCAAGGAAAACGGAGAGCGGAGAAAGGAGAGCGGAGTGGAGAGCGGCTTGGGCATGGGCGTGCTCAGGAGCTGGGGTCCTTTTTCCGTTTCTGGAAGCGTCGGAATTTGCCCTGAATGGCAAGCGCTGCCTTCTCCGTCTCGGGCGCGTTCAGGTCGATGTCGATCTCCTCTTCTTCTGCATCCACCTTCTTGGCGCTCGCGGCTTTGTCTGTGTGGGGAACCAGGCAGTGCGGCTGTTAAAACACAGGAAGAAATGGCTTTCCACAAGTCGCACCCCCTTATTCCCCAGCCCCGTACCCCTTGTGGCTTCCCTTGCCAGCTGAACCAGCACGAAGACCAGGAATCGACCGTGTTTGCTTCCTCTTTCATCACCTGTGTTACCTTGTTGAGAACAAGAGGCAGGTGAACTGTGACAGGCTGTGGTGTGGGGGGGGTGAGGATCAGGTTTTTGTCAGGGGTCCCTTCCCTCCCATTCATGATGGGAGAGGAAGAATCCAGTTCCTCTTCAAATACGAACACACCTCATTTTGCACATCCAACCAAGGAGAAAAACAAAACTCGGCCATCCTTTGCAAGGTGCCCGTCTGCAAATTTTGCAGTGGAGTTCACCGTTTTTTAAAGGTACAAAAAGGGGTGGTCTTAGGAGACCAAGGACCAAGCATATTTGGGCAGGAACCAGATTTGTTGCAAGAGAGAGACAGACAGACAGACAGACAGAGAGAGGAAGGAAGGACGGACGGACAGACGGACAGACAGACGGACGGAAGGAGCATCTTGGAAATGCACACCATGGCAAGACTGAAAAAGGACATCTGTGTGTTTTCATCTGGATGTTTGTTGCAGAGTACAAAATGTTGCAGGAAAACCCATCATTTGTCCCAGACGAGGGTCATTGGCTTCAGAGACTAGTGATGGAGGCAGACGGAGGACTGCGTAACCTAGCAACCGGAAACACGAAACTGCCTCTAATGTCGAGCATCCATGGTCCTGATCGCTTCCCCACCCGTATCCTGGTCACACCTGGCCAGAACGCCCCTGCCGATCTGTGTGTGGTGTCTGGCCAGGGAGGGGGGACATCTTCGCATCTATTCTGTCTCTTCCTCCTTTCAGGCTTTTTGTGGAAAGAAGACAAGATGGGCGAAGCAGGAGAAATGTGGGCCGGTTTGCGAGGGAAGCTGAGGCAGTCTGCACAGAGCATAAGATTTTGCGCATGGGACGGGCTGTCGTGCCTCTGGGCCTGTGCTCAGGGGCCAAGTTCCAGGGCTCTGCAGCAACACCAGCCCCCCCCCAAACAACCCCCCTCCAAAGAGTGGTGGGAGCAAATGGCCAAAGAGAAACCTCACCATGCATCCAGCTTGATGCATGCCATGAGCGGAGCCAGCTGGAGCGGGGGTCAGACTAGATGGCCCGGGAGACCCCTTCTGACTCGCTCTGTTTCTATGCCTCTTCAAAATCAGGTCTGGAGAAGTGCTTTGTTGCTGATGCTCCAAGCATCAGGCACTTGGAAGCTGTTTGAAAACGTGTGAGGGAAAGAGGAGGGGAGCGGTGGACTTCATGAGCAAAGCGACGCATGAGGCCGTCTCAGGTGGACCCATTCGAGGCAGGCTGATTGCAGGAGATAAATCGGACCTGAAAGCAGCCAAGGGGTGCAGAGATGCCTGGCACCCCTCCAGCGACCCACACGGTGCCACCCACCCAAATGACGGCAAGCCCCCGAGCGATGGAGGAGCGGAGAAGCCAAGCCGGGGTGATCGGCGCCGTCTTTGATCGTGCGAGCAGCGGGCGCTGGCATGCGAAGCACCAGAGGGGCCGAGCCGGCAGATGCGCCACGTCCGTTCGCCATGCTCCCTGCTTCCCTCCCGCCAGGCCGGTTTTCCATGTTGTCAGTCACCCCCTGCCCTTTCCGAGCGCTCCCTCATTACAGCGATTTCCCCACGTAGCATTGAGTGCCCCGGCCGGACCTCGTCTGCCGGCATCTCCCTCATTAGCGCAGCGGCTGTTCCAGGGGCCCAGGGGCGATACTGGCTCTCTCCTGGCAGCGTCCAGGTGGGGAGAAGCATCCTGATCCCCCCCCCCAGGGCACTGCCCTCCAAATCGGTCCGGAGGAGTTGTGGGTCGCCCCCAAGGAGTGCAGCACAAACAGGCTCCTGGCATGGAACGGGCCAGCTTGATCTTTCCCCGGAGCCCAGCAAAAGCCTCACCCCGGGAGTCAAATTCTGGGTGCCGTTAAAACTGGGGCACAGAACCCCATCAATCAAGAGCCAAATTCCATTTCCAAAGACCTGCATTCCGGAGGTGGGTGAGGCCGGGTGTATTTTAGCCAGAAGCTCTTACTGGCAGTATTTAGGAATTCCGACTATTTTGGAAGGGGGAAAAAGTTCCCCCAAGCCAGGAATCCACCAAATACTCAGTGCTTAGCGGGAGAGGATGTGGACTTTTGGGTTCCAGAGGCGCACATATTCATCGATTATATTTATACCCCGCCTCCTTCCCACAGTGAACCCAAGGCGACTCACACAATTCTCCCCTCCCCCCTTTTATCTTCACGACAGCCCTGTGAGGTGGGTCAGGCTGAGAGTCCGTGACTGGCCCAAGGCACCGAGGGAGCTCTGCACCGCGGCCAGGTGGGGACTTGCAACCAGCCTCTCCGGAGTCCCCAGGTGGACAAGTTCGCCGCTCTGTTGCACTGGCTCTCCGTAAGTATTTCTGCAAAGAACTTTTTCCCTGTGGGATGATGCCACTTGGATAGGCAGAGGAGTTGGCAGCTGAGAGAGAGCAAGTGAGCGAGAGAGAGAGAGAGAGAGAGAGAGAGAGAGAGAACGAGAGAGAGAGCCAGATGTCCCCACTCACCTTTCTCCTCCCGGCCAGGGATCTCACTGGGGGACGGTGACTCATTGGAACTGAGCTGCAGCGAGGGAAAGAGTGGGAGAGAGAAAAGGGCAAGATTAGAACAAGCCGTCTTTGGACGTGCGTCCTCATCTGCCTCCGAGCTCTGACAAGGCAGGCGGCCTTGTTTTTGTGTTTCCTTGTGGGGAGAAGCCTTCCAGAAAGGGGGCATCCAAAGAGTCGGAGAGAAACTTTCAACAGGGTGTATTTATACAGGTTGTACCATCCTCTGCCTGAAGAGACATTGATCTCTTTCTCTTTCTGTTTTCTGAGCTGTACAGTTCCCCCCATGTTTTAATAGCAAGCATCACCTGGAATGGTCTTTTTCAAGGAGCTACAGAAAAGGGCAACTCAAACTATTAAGGGATCGGGCAAGAATGCCTTCCCTGCTCGGAAAACCTATAGGCTATCTGGGACTTAGTTATGCCCTAGTTTAGGGGAATACATGGGGGACATGAGGATTACAGAATTAGCAATGTTGGGGAGTGAAGGAAATCTCTCCCCATCTCAGGCCCAAATGGCATAGCACTTACAAACATAGAAGGGGTCCTCAAAGGTCATCTAGTCCGACCCTTTCCCAATGCAGAAAACCCATTTTTAAAGCATCTCAGACAGGACAGCATGTAGCCTCTGCTCAGAATGAAAGGGAATCCACCACTTTCCCAGGCAATCTATCCCACTAGCTCATCCTCTCCGTTAGTTGAAACCCCCTGCTTTGTAGTCTGAGCCCGGTAGCTCAAGCAGCAGGAGACAAATTCGTTCCACCTGCTCTCAAGTTGGCTCTGTCGATGGCCACCTTGCAATATCTGAGCATGGCCATCCTCTTGCTTCTTGGTCGTCTCTTCTCAGCTTCTTCAGCCTTTCCTTACGGTGGCCTCTTTTATTGAGAAAAGCCTCTTTGATAGTGGACAACGGAGAGAAACGGAATAGCCCAGCATTGTGCACTTCCAGTGGCCACCCCAGTGGAAAGCCCTAGAAGAAAACCATGCATGCACTCTCCCACCCATGTTCCCCAGCAACTGGCACCCACAGCCAAACTGCCTCTCATCCTAGAGGTAATCCATGGCCATCAACCTCCCCCTCCCGGAATTTATTTAATCCCCTTTTAAAGCCGTCCAGGTTGGCAGCCATCCCATCTTTTGCTAAAAGTAAACAGGGGACACTTAATTGTTTCCTCCGACTCCAAATCCTTCCTCCACCAACACACACCAGCCAAACAAGTTTGATTCCACACTTATCTCTTTTAAAAAGGGAGTACTTCTCCATGCAGCAATGCATGAATTAAGAGACAGGATTCATCCCCAGATGCTGCAGGGATCAGCGCTAATTTAAGAGGGCTTAAAAAAAACCAATAAAAATGCATTTCTGCAGTGACACGCTGCTGTATGGGGTACTCCAGTCAGTATTCCAGGGGCTTATCCCATCCCCTGTTGTTTCTCCAGGTCCTCTTCCTGCCCCACTCCCATCCATCAGCTTCGCATCGCTGCAGAAGTCGCTCCGTTTACACTGGACTGGTTTTATTGGGGTGGGGGGGTCCCTCTCTGTTTTTTATTTTTTTTTTTATTTATGGATTTATATCCTGCCTTTTTCCTACAAAGGGCTCAAGGCAGCTTACACCATTCTCCTCCTCCATCTTATCCCCACAACAACAACCCTGTGAGGCAGGTTGGGCTGAGAGTCTGTGACTGGCCCAAAGTCACCCAGTGGGCTCCATGGCCGAGCGGGGACTCGAACCCAGATCCTCTGAGTCCCAGTTCCACGCTCTTAACCACTACGCCACACTTTGAGTTCATCCACCTCTGTACGGGGAAATCTTTTGTCCCAGCTGCATTCAGTTCATATGATCTCTTCACGGAGTTTCACTTCTGTCCCGTTCAAATCACAGCTCAGTGTGAGACGGAAAGTGTCCACTCCGGACAACGAGACGGTTCTGTCCACACTTTTCCCTGTATCTCTGTGTCTCCTCCTCTCTTCCAATCTCTCTCTCACCTGCTTGCCATCTTTTTCTCCCCAGTATCCAACGTTTTGTGTTCTTATGGGATACACGGGGCTGTTCACACACACACACACACACACACACACACGCACGCACGCACGCACCCTTCCCCCTCCCTCAGGATATTTTGGCGTTACCCTGGATCTCGTGCATGTTTGGGGAAATTTTGGCTCCAGCTTCACGACCCAAAAAAGATCCAGTTTGGAAACAGAGGGGGAACGATTAGGGACATGCGCAACGGACGGCCCTACTCACAGCGGTCCGCCTTCGTAGCTCAGTGGGCTTTCCACGATCAGGGACGGCTGGTCCCCAAAGAGAACAGATGCTGAGGATAAACGCTTGGCAAGAGATGTGACCTTCACGCGGTGCTTGCGAGCGTGAGGCTTTAGCAACACGGAAGGCTTAGAAAGAGAGGAGGAAAAGCGCCGGGCTGTCCTCTCTTGGAAGCAGAAAGCTGGGCCAGGGGGACCTAGCAAGGCCCTTCCGGCGGCTGGGATCGCAGGCAACCAGGTCGGCCTCTACGTACTGGGGAGAAGAGGAGCACCCCGGGGAAGGCTGGGGCGGGGGGGGGCAGGAGGGGATTAGAGGACGGTAATCTGTGTTATCGGGCATGTGGGGATGATGCGAGGCAGCGCTGCGGTGGAGGATGCGCCCCAGCGGGGGGTGCAGAGGGGGCTTGGGAAGGCAGCACAAGATCCGTGGCAGGTCCAGGCCGGGATGGAGGTGGCGTGCATGCACAGAGTTCTCAGCATTGCAGCGTCCGGTTTTAATTATGCCCCGGCAGCCGAGGATGCTCCAGCGCAGCAGCTAAGCCCCTGCATGCCAACCTCAGCAGAGCCGAGGAGGCGCAGGGTGGGCGATGCCAAGCAGGAGCCAGCCGCAGCCCGGAGGAGGCGGGAGAGTTGGCAAGGGGGGCGGTGGAGGCCGGGGGGTGGGAGAAAGGGCCGTGCCTGGATTTGCAAAGCCCCCGAGTGCAGCCTGCTGGTTAGAGTGCTGAACTGGGGCTCGAGAGATCCAGGGTCAAGCACCCACTCGGCCACGAAGCCAGCTTGGGCGCCTTGGGCCAGCCGTGGACCTTCACCCTGACCTGCCTCGCAGGGTTGTGGTGAGGATAAATGGAGGAGAGAAGAACCTTGTGAGCCGCAGGAGGAAGAAAGGCAGGGTAGACTGCCTTGCAATAAAGATTAAGGCGTCAAGCACGGCGTGGCTAAGCCTTGCAAATGTGCAACCAAGCTGCGAGTCCACAAGGTTATTATTAAGGACCATCCATTCAGATGGGGCTTTGTAACAGCCATTCTCCTGGCCCGCAGCTGTGTTGGACTACACTTCCCTGCGCTAGCTGCAGGATCTGAGGGGTGTTAACCCGGGGGGGGGGTACCTGGCTGTGGAAGATGGGTCTCCAGAGCATGCACTCTTATTGCTGCAACACTGACAGAGGGGGGAAAAGGGAGGGGAAGGGAGGGAAGAAGATTTAGGGGGAAATCAGCCAACCCCATAGCCCCTTCTCGAGGGCTGAGTCTGGCTCACCCTTAAAACGTCGCAGATAAAAGCTGTAAGGGATAAGGAGCCCCTCGGGCTTCCGAGCCACCAGCCTCCGCTGCCCATCCGCAGAAAGCACACGGCGAACCAGGCCAGCTCCGCAGCGCCGCAGTATCTAATCCGCTTAGCCGGTCTCGCTTTCGCTCAGCCGAGCCTCCCAAATCTCGTTATGTACATGGGCTGGGGATCGGGTTTCCTCCATCTGCGCTGGCCAGGCCACCTCGGCGCAGGGCACAAGGAGCGGGGGCAGCCCGGTCCCCTCCGGGGGGAGCCACCATGCCGGCCAGAGTCGCACCCGCTCTGCCGAGGAGTCCGTTTCCTCTCCCGCTGCAAGTACAGTTCCGGAAGGGCAGAGCGACCCCAAAACCGACCCCATGCGTGGTTTCGGGGCATGGAGGCCGAGCTTTGCCCAGGCCTGAAGCGGCTCTTCGCACATTGGGACCTAAATTACCTCTTTCCCACAACGTCCCTGAACGATGCAGTGTTATGCACTGCAAGGCAGCTGGGGCTTGCTGGAATCACGGCCTTTCTGCACACGGCATTGACGGCAAGCTTGCCATTCCTCAGGGACTGCTTCGTCATGGCTCGGGGCCCTTTGTCGGCATTTCCGCCTGTGTGCCAACAGTGGGAATACTGTGGGGAAGGGATAGAAACCACAATGGCCTCGAAATTGCCTGATCATCTGTTGATAGATCATGGTAAAAAGATGAGGAAACGTGGTAACCAGCCACATGGGTCAGTTTGCCGTGCCATGTGGACCCAGCCTCTCTGATGTTCAGGCGGTAAATGCCATTGCTTATGTGGCCAAAAAGACACCACTCATGCACAGGAGTGCAGAACCAGCGGCCTCGGAAAGACCCCAAATTTGTAGAAGTCTAACAAGGCAATCCAACGAAAACAATGTGCATTGAGTTGTGAAGGAGCAAAGAAAACTGGGGTAGGGAAGGAGGAGGGAGACCGGAATGGAGCATCACAGGGCAGGGCCTTTAAAAAACAAAGCAAAACACTTCTAGCGAGGTTTTATTTTGAGTTTTTTAAGAGCAGGCGAAGTGCGGCACTTAATGGTGAAAGGGGAAGCGAGCGCCGTTTCCTCTCGCCCGTTTGTGCCACCTCGCTTACACCTCACTGCCACCTAGAGGTATGTCTTGGAATAGCAAGGAACAAAATGCTCTTCCTGCGCCGCTCTGCGCTGCTCTTTTGCGTTGAAACCCAAAGCAGGTATGGCAGGTGCACAGCGAATGAACAGCCTTGTGTGGAAAAATTGTGCAATTGTGGGGGGAAAGTGTTCGGAAAGTGCAGCCATGAGCCACTTTAACTGGTCACTGGAAGTCCTGGCAGGCCTCGAGCGCACACGAGCCCCTGTGCCATTCCTCATTTCCTCAACTCCGGCACAACCAAAAACGTTCCTTGCAGCACATGGCGGAAAAGCAGATCCTGACGTCGAAGAGAATCACTCCTCTTTCGGAGCAGAGGGTCTCCTTTCG